TTGCCGAAAAAACGACCATGTATAGGAAGGCGTTTTTAGCTGAAAAAACGACCATGTATAGTAAGGCGTTTTTTGCCGAAAAAACGACCATGTATAGGAAGGCGTTTTTAGCTGAAAAAACGACCATGTATAGTAAGGCGTTTTTTGCCGAAAAAACGACCATGTATAGGAAGGCGTTTTTAGCTGAAAAAACGACCATGTATAGTAAGGCGTTTTTTGCCGAAAAAACGACCATGTATAGGAAGGCGTTTTTAGCTGAAAAAACGACCATGTATAGTAAGGCGTTTTTAGCCTAACTGAAATGACCATGTGTCGTAGTGTAGAGGTACACGCGCTGGCTTTTGCTCCAGGCAATGCGGGTTCAAACCCTCTTCAGTGATGTGTGAAAATACAACACGAAGTAACTTTTTCCTGCAAACCCTCCATATTGCATGTCAAATACGCCTACAGTGCAGCTCAAGTCACAATCACTGGTGGTGTAGAAGTACGCATGCTGGTGTTCGGTCCAGGCAACCCCGGTTCAAACTCCGCTCAGTGATGTGTGAAAATATAACACCAAACACGAAGTAACTTTTTCCTGCAAACCCTCTATATTGCATGTCAAATACGCCAATAGTACAGTGCAATTCACAGTCACTGGTAGTGTCGAGGTATGTACGCCAGCTTTCGGTCCAGGTCGACTGGTTCGTGCGTCAACTGAACAGCGCAGAGGTGCAGGTTTCGAATCCAGGTCTCGGCCTTTATCTGGGGAGGTTTCCATGTCAAGCTTTTTTTAACAACCATTGATGTAAGGGCCTTCTTGTGTTCGAAGGCGTTTTTCGCCCAAAAAAACGATCTTGAAAAGTAAGGCGTTTTTAGCCCCCAAAAAACGACCATGTATATATACGAAGGCGTTTTTAGCCGAAAAAAACGACCATGTATAGTAAGGCGTTTTCACCCGAAAAAAACGACCATGGATCGTAAGCCGTTTTTAGCTGAAAAAACGACCATGTGTAGTAAGGCGTTTTCAACCGAAAAAACGACCATGTATATATAGTAAGGCATTTTTTAGCCAAAAAAAACAAGCATGTATAGTAAGGCATTTTTTAGCCCAAAAAAACAAGCATGTAAAGTAAGGCGTTTTTAGCCGAAAAAACGACCATATATAGTAAGGTGTTTTTAGCTGGAAAAAACGACCATGTGTAGGAAGGCGTTTTTTGCCGAAAAAAACGACCATGTATATATACGAAGGCGTTTTTAGCCGAAAAACACGACCATGTATAGTAAGGCGCCTTTAGCCCCAAAAAACGACCATGTATATATACGAAGGCGTTTTTAGCCGAAAAACACGACCATGTATAGTAAGGCGCCTTTAGCCCCAAAAAACGACCATGTATATATACGAAGGCGTTTTTAGCCGAAAAACACGACCATGTATAGTAAGGCGCCTTTAGCCCCAAAAAACGACCATGTATATATACGAAGGCGTTTTTAGCCGAAAAACACGACCATGTATAGTAAGGCGCCTTTAGCCCCAAAAAACGACCATGTATATATACGAAGGCGTTTTTAGCCGAAAAACACGACCATGTATAGTAAGGCGCCTTTAGCCCCAAAAAACGACCATGTATATATACGAAGGCGTTTTTAGCCGAAAAACACGACCATGTATAGTAAGGCGCCTTTAGCCCCAAAAAACGACCATGTATATATACGAAGGCGTTTTTAGCCGAAAAACACGACCATGTATAGTAAGGCGCCTTTAGCCCCAAAAAACGACCATGTATATATACGAAGGCGTTTTTAGCCGAAAAACACGACCATGTATAGTAAGGCGCCTTTAGCCCCAAAAAACGACCATGTATATATACGAAGGCGTTTTTAGCCGAAAAACACGACCATGTATAGTAAGGCGCCTTTAGCCCCAAAAAACGACCATGTATATATACGAAGGCGTTTTTAGCCGAAAAACACGACCATGTATAGTAAGGCGCCTTTAGCCCCAAAAAACGACCATGTATATATACGAAGGCGTTTTTAGCCGAAAAACACGACCATGTATAGTAAGGCGCCTTTAGCCCCAAAAAACGACCATGTATATATACGAAGGCGTTTTTAGCCGAAAAACACGACCATGTATAGTAAGGCGCCTTTAGCCCCAAAAAACGACCATGTATATATACGAAGGCGTTTTTAGCCGAAAAACACGACCATGTATAGTAAGGCGCCTTTAGCCCCAAAAAACGACCATGTATATATACGAAGGCGTTTTTAGCCGAAAAACACGACCATGTATAGTAAGGCGCCTTTAGCCCCAAAAAACGACCATGTATATATACGAAGGCGTTTTTAGCCGAAAAACACGACCATGTATAGTAAGGCGCCTTTAGCCCCAAAAAACGACCATGTATATATACGAAGGCGTTTTTAGCCGAAAAACACGACCATGTATAGTAAGGCGCCTTTAGCCCCAAAAAACGACCATGTATATATACGAAGGCGTTTTTAGCCGAAAAACACGACCATGTATAGTAAGGCGCCTTTAGCCCCAAAAAACGACCATGTATATATACGAAGGCGTTTTTAGCCGAAAAACACGACCATGTATAGTAAGGCGCCTTTAGCCCCAAAAAACGACCATGTATATATACGAAGGCGTTTTTAGCCGAAAAACACGACCATGTATAGTAAGGCGCCTTTAGCCCCAAAAAACGACCATGTATATATACGAAGGCGTTTTTAGCCGAAAAACACGACCATGTATAGTAAGGCGCCTTTAGCCCCAAAAAACGACCATGTATATATACGAAGGCGTTTTTAGCCGAAAAACACGACCATGTATAGTAAGGCGCCTTTAGCCCCAAAAAACGACCATGTATATATACGAAGGCGTTTTTAGCCGAAAAACACGACCATGTATAGTAAGGCGCCTTTAGCCCCAAAAAACGACCATGTATATATACGAAGGCGTTTTTAGCCGAAAAACACGACCATGTATAGTAAGGCGCCTTTAGCCCCAAAAAACGACCATGTATATATACGAAGGCGTTTTTAGCCGAAAAACACGACCATGTATAGTAAGGCGCCTTTAGCCCCAAAAAACGACCATGTATATATACGAAGGCGTTTTTAGCCGAAAAACACGACCATGTATAGTAAGGCGCCTTTAGCCCCAAAAAACGACCATGTATATATACGAAGGCGTTTTTAGCCGAAAAACACGACCATGTATAGTAAGGCGCCTTTAGCCCCAAAAAACGACCATGTATATATACGAAGGCGTTTTTAGCCGAAAAACACGACCATGTATAGTAAGGCGCCTTTAGCCCCAAAAAACGACCATGTATATATACGAAGGCGTTTTTAGCCGAAAAACACGACCATGTATAGTAAGGCGCCTTTAGCCCCAAAAAACGACCATGTATATATACGAAGGCGTTTTTAGCCGAAAAAAACCACCATGTATAGTAAGGCGTTTTTAGCCAAAAAAACGACCTTGTATAGTAAGACGTTTTTTACCAAAAAAATTACCACATATAGTAAGGCGTTTTTTACCAAAAAAAACGACCATGTATTGTTAGGCGTTTTTGGCGGAAAAAAACGACCATGTATTGTTAGGCGTTTTTTGCTGAAAAAAACGACCATGTATAGTAAGGCGTTTTTAGCAGAAAAAAACGAGCATGTATAGGAAGGCGTTTTTAGCCGAAATCTCCTTTTGGAGAATAAGGTATTTATTCAAAGCTCCTTGTTTCTCCTTGTCTCACCAAGTGCCTCTCAGATTTTTGACGTGTCTTATTTCATTGTGTGTGTGTTCTCCACAGCAGGGGAAATAGCATGCAAGAAACGCAACAGACTGAAATTTAAAACACTGCAGCATCTTATTTTTCTAAATAAAAATTTGTGAAGACAAATCCCACAAGCATCCTCATTCACATGATTTTCACATTATTGAAACACATTGAATCAGAATCAGAATCGCCTATATTGTCATACGACCATGTATAGTAAAGCGTTTTAGCCGAAAAAACTTTGATGTACAGTACGGCGTTTTTTGCCGAAAAAAATTTTTGAGCCGAAAAAAGCGACCATGTATAGTCAGGCGTTTTTAGCCGAAAAAAATGACCATGTAAGGCGTTTTTAGCCGAAAAAAACGACCATATATAATAAGGCGTTTTTAACCGAAAAAAAAAAGCTATGGACTGCTTAGACATGCTTCACTCGAGTGACGTTGCTGCAGTACGTGCATATTATGGAGCAGCTTCAGGACAAACGCAAATTGTCCGCCGTGTAGAGCCATTTTGATCTCCTTTTGGAGAATAAGGTATTTATTCAAAGCTCCTTGTTTCACCAAGTGCCTCTCGGATTTTTGACATGTCTTATTCCATTGTGTGTGTGTTCTCTACTGCAGGGGAAATAGCATGCAAGAAACGCAACAGACTGAAATTTAAAACACTGGAGCATCTTATTTTTCTAAATAAAAATTTGTGAAGACAAATCCCACAAGCATCTTCTCACATGATTTTTTCACATTATTGAAACACATTGAATCAGAATCAGAATCGCCTATATTGTCATTGTATAGATACAACGAAATTTCTTCCCTCTCAACATAAAACAAGAGGAGCCGCTGCGGGTGTCCGCGCCACTATCAAAAGAAAAGTTAACAAAAAAAACGACAAAATAATACAAGACAACACATGAGACACAGACAATCGTGCAATCTTAACCTTGAATGATACAATATGAATGCATGGATGTGAATGATATTGTATACACTTCATCATCAAATCAGTCAGTTCAGTCTGTCAAGTGGGTTGGCTGCAGGGATTTTGAAGGTCCAGCAGGTGGCAGTGGTCAGCGACACAGTATCAACACAGTGTGTCAGTGTGTCGACATGCCTCATGAGGCCTTATGGACCCATCACTAATGAATAGTTCAACAGAACAAACCGAAAGAAGAAGAAACTGCAGCTGTATGCTATTAGCTTTACCAACTGACTGACTAGGCATAAATTGTCTTAATTATCTTATCCTGGAAGGGCATCTGACTCAAAATTCAGGATTGTTTCTTCATTAAATGAAACTCGTGTGTTCATTAAACACGTACAATAGCAAAAGTTTCGAAAATAAAAAGTCATTTGCATCTCCCCCAAAATAAAAATAAAAATCTCAAAATTAAAGTGACATTTTATATATACAAATTATGTACAGTTGTAATAATTTGAAGTGACATTCCAAAAAAAGTATTTATTTTGTCACCAAATAATGATACATGATTGGACACAAAAGTGACAACTCAATAAGACATCAGCAGCTATGATACAGGCAATAAATTAAGACAAAATACATCTCCTTCAGAACATCATGTGCACCTACAATACCAACGTGACCAGAATAGAAATTGAGACGTACGTGAATGCCCCATTGATTTTCATTCAGTGCAAAAACCCTGTGAAAGGCACCTGCAGGTCTTAACATCTATAAGTGAGCAAGCCGGGGAACTCTAGAACTGAGACTCAGCATAACCTTCAGGAGCAGGCGTGTTCTGCTTCATGTGGCTGTAGTCAAACTCACTCTCAGAGTCCTGGACAACGAGAAGACATGGCAGATGAGCTTACAAGAAGAAGACATATTATTATTTAGGGTAGGGTCACCTGTGGCAAAAAGATCCTAGGTGAGGGACCAGACAAAGCACAGCTCGTCAACTCTGGTGATGAACGAAACCATTGGGTGGCGTTTTCCCTTGCCCGGACGCGGGTCACTGGGTCCCCCCTTCTGGAGCCAGGCACACATGGGGCCCGGCCAAGCTAAGCCTTGAAGAGGCGATGTGGGCCCCGCTTTCCATGGGCTCACCACCAATGGGAGGGGCCAAAGGGGTCGGGTGCAAAGTGAACTGTGCGGAATGATCCTCGGCTGCAGAAGCTAGCTCGAGGGACATGGAATGTCAGACCTCTGGCAAGGAAGGAGCCCGAGCTGGTGTGTGAGGCAGAGAAGTTCCGACTTGACACAGTCGGGAGCTAAGTGCCTGTACATTGGGGTTCACGTCAGTGGACGAGAGGGTGGCTTCCCTGCGTCTTCCTGACTGTTGTTTGTGTCTATGCACCAAACACTAGCTCCACTCTTTTTGGAGTCTTTGGAAGGTGTGCTGCTGTAGAGCGCTCCCTCTTGGGACTCCCTCGTTCTGCAGGGTGACTTCAATGCTCACATGGGCAATGACAGTGAGACCTGGAAGGGTGTGATTGTGAAGACCCCCCCCCCCCTCCCCACACACACACATACACACTAGAACATGAGTGGTGTTTTGTTATTGAACTTCTGCACTCATCACTGATTGTCCATAATGAAAACGATGGTCAAAATATAACATAACAAATGTGGAATTGGAACTAAGACACCAAAGTTTGATGATTGACTTTGTGGTGGTATCATTGGATTTGCAGCCACATGTTTTGGACACTCGGGTGAACACAGGGGCGGAGCCGTGAAAGTCAAGCCGCTTCCCCTCCGTGACGAGAGGAGCCAGATGAGGTGACTCGGGCATCTAATTAGTCTCCTGGACGTCTCCCTGGTGAGATGCTCCTGCCATGTGCCACAGGCAGGAAGTCCCAGGGATGACCCAGGACGCACTGGAGAGACTACGTCTCCTAGCTGGTAATGCCTTGGGATCCCCCAGGACGAGCTGCAAGAAGTGGCGGGGGAGTGGGAAGTCTGGGCTTCCTTGCTAAAGCTGTTGCCACCGTGACCTGATGCCGGTTAAGCGGTAGAAAATGGATGGAAGAGTATGTACTGTACTGTACCGTCAGAGCAAGGTCACAGCATGTGGCCGCCTTGAATGGGTTCCCCGCTCGGTAGTTGTCGTACTCTTCTCTGATGAACATAGAAGAGACAGCAGTGAGTCAACAGTACAATGTAAAGGCCAAATAAAAGCACACTTTGGTAAACGAATGTTCGGAACAAGACAACAATGAGGTTTGTTGTCAAATACTGTAATATTGCTTATACCGAAAGAACAGACGAGTTAGCTTAATAAAATCCATTGCCTTTGCAAAAACGAGCAATTCAGAGGTAAATCTATAGCAACCAGAGGCTGAATAAACCCCAAGGGACCCACTTCAGTGATTGGTCGAACAAATCTACTCACCCCTCTGCGACCTCTATGGGTGACCTGTAGCCCTTGGATTGGCTGCGCTCTCTCTCGGTGAAGAGCATCTGACCAATCAGAATAAGGGTAATGATGGTGGAAGGGATGAGGACGAAAAAGAGGAGGACCGCAACATCTGAGAAGCGAACGCTGGGTACTGGGGAGGAAAAAATAGGAATATATGAATTGTTGGTGGGTCAGCTGCACTAAATACAGTATATGCTAGAAAATATCGCTCTGCTGGGCCCGAAAGTCCAGTCTAGCCATTTAAAGTAAGAACAGATAGCATTCAAATGCATTCCTGCAAATCCAGTCACGTTCATGTTGTTAATTAAAAGACACATATGCGAGACAATTAATACCTCCATCAGCAGGCGCAAATTAATCTCTGCTTGCTAATAATTTGAATCAAGGATGTGAAGCAGCTTACTCTTGGGCATGACAGTCAGTACTGTGTGTGAGTTTGGGTTGCCGTGGACATCCGGAGGGTTTCTGACGGAGCATGTGTAGGTTCCATTATCATTCAGCGTTGAATTGATCAGCGCGATGGAGGCTTCCCCCTTTGCCGGGCTTCCTCGCCACTGAACACGCCCACTGAACTGGCCCTCCAGAGGAGGGAAGGCACGAGAAGAGAAGTGGAAGAACTGAAGGAAGGAGAAAAAGAGGCAAAAATTATTAGGATTCCGTACCGAGTTGAGGCGTGTGGTCAAGAGCAGTAAATATAGGCAAGGACGTCTTGTCATTCTGTCACAAAAGAAAAGCAGAATCATTCTGACGGCACGATGGTAGGTAATAACAGAAGAGTCTCTCTGCCATTGCCATAGCAACTCAACTACTTTCGAGGTTCATACAATGGTACAGACGCCTCTTATGACACATTCGCATTAGCATCAGCAACACGACTCGTACAATGTTGATTTCAACCCGAGGAACCTATTTTCGTGCCCAGTGCAAGTCCGGCGCAAAGTGCAGTCTAACCGTGCGCATGGGTGGAGTTTTCTTTCTTTTGGTATTTTCTTAGATTGGCAGAAAGGGGTGTTTGCGCCGATGTGGGAGTGAACACAGACAAATGACTTCTAGGGATGTAACGATGTCCAAACGTGACAATAACATGTCGGAAAGTGCTCACAAGCCACTACTGTTGTCTATTGTTGTATACTTTTCCATTTGTTAGTCCAATTTGACATATCTCAGTCTTTTATTTTATGAATGCTGTACATTTTCTCTGTTCAGTCGTGAATAAAGCCTTCATAAAAATAATTGTGTGCTCGGTCAAATCTGTTATAGACCAGCTCAAAACACAGGTGAAATGCGCCCTCTCATGGCCGGTTGTTATCACTGTGACACATGACAGCGTCTCACTGTTGCCTTTTCTGCTCATGCGCTCCCTGGCGGCCATTGGAGAAATCTTTAAACAGGCCGCATCATTAAATCAGCTGCAGGGTTGAAAGCATGTGACAAAAGGAGGAGTTTATAGTCCGGAAATTACGGTTATTCAAATTGAACTGTGCTAATAACTCTTTTTTTCCATCCTAGGAATCCCTGTTCAGTAAGTTCACGATACCACGTCTGCTTGCGAACAAAATCATGTTTTCGCCATTGATTTGTATTCACCGCAGTGTATTCTTTTTCAACAAGAGCACTCAGACCTCCGCCACGCTAGATAAACATATGTCACCCCAGGAAATCAATGGACAAATGGTGAAGATCGAATAGCTAAAAGGAGATCAAGTTTCATGGAGATCCAGAATTTCTTGGTATGAATTCCTCTGAGAGGAATAGGGAGATAAGTGTCTGAAAATCTTAAATGGGAAGTTCCTACCAAATGGTCAATGTGACTCAGATTTGTCTGAAACTTGGTTTGCCACAACAGCTTTTGATAGTGCATTATCATCATTTTTAAGGCAAATCTCCGTGTACAGCAAAAAAAAAAAAAAAAAAAAAAAAAAAAAAGAAAGACGAAAAGCAAGCATACGCAGCATACAATTGATTTTTTTTCATACGCTTACTTGGAAGAATAGCTAAATCAAAGATGACGTTTCAAAAACAGAAGACAAGAGATGGAACACAAACCAACCAACGAGCATATGTGACTGACATTTTTGTTTCAGTGACAATCATAAAGAAAGATTTGACCATAACTCTGAATGAATGGTATCATTTAAATCAAAAGAAAAGTGCCTGGCAGCAGGTGGGGAAACAGATGGTGGTGGGACAAGCCGAGTGAAGAGACCGATGTTCACAAACAAGGAAGCAAATCTGATCGCATCAACAACAAAAAAAAAAAAAGCGCAAAAAAACAAAACAGAATCATTGGCGGAGTCGCTGAGATACAGTGGAGCCTGTAAATCTGATGCCCAAGTCTAAATTCAACGAATAGTTTCTAGTCAAATTGACTTTGAAGGGGCAAAAAAAAAAAAAAAAAAGACTTTGACTCAAGTTTTAAGCTTTTTTCTGTCTCTTGTTTTTTTTTTTTATACTGATTCAAATGTGATGGGGGGGGGGGGGGGGGGATCATTTGGGGGGGGGGGGGGGGGAGTGATCACGATCGAAGTCGAAATAGAACTTATGGCAAGATAGCGATGTGCTTTCTGTGTATTCCAAAATGTCAATAATATTGTCAGGCTCTTATATGTGGTTAGAGAATGCCACAATCGCTGCTGCTCGCTTTATTCCCATGAGCGGTAACAGAATGCCCATTCATTCAAGAGCTGCTATAGGCCACAACTCACCCCTAGTTACTCCACACACACACAAACACACCCACCCATACCCACACACACACACACACACACACTCGTAACAAAGCAACAGAAACAAACGTAAACAAAGAACAAGGTCTACTTTGGTGCAAAGTATTGATATGAACGCTGCAAAACAGGTCGGGAAGTGCACGGCTTTGCCATCGTTAGAATATGTTGGTCAATAATGGAAGAAGCAGAATTAGAGATTACCACATGCAAAAAATAATAATAAATGCTGTGTTTAGTTGTCACTTGAAGCATAAACAGAAATCTTCCTCTGCGTGTTCCTTGTCACTCATCGTGCAAGTTAAGGGTTAGTACGTAGTTGACTCTTTTTAGGCACATTCACAGCGAGAACGTTACTTCTTTGTTTGTTTTGTGAGAACAGGCCTACAACCCAAGCATGTTTTTAACATTAAAAATTCCGTGTGCAGTTTAGCACTATATTGAGAAAAATATTAGGTTGTTAATATTCTGCAGTAAGGAGCACACAATGCGCACCCGATATCCCAACTCCATATTTACGTTCTAAATATGTTACACCGTTAAGTGCGCTACACCACTTCATTAGATTGCATAGAAACATGGTTTTACCCCCACAGATATTTCACACTTGCAGCTTGAATCCAAGCGGTTCACAAACTGCCTTTTATTTATTTTTTGGGTCTGTGGTTTATAAACCAATCCGGACTGCTTACAATGTCAGCAATGTCAAGAGATTATATGACTTCTGTAAAAGTTCAGACAAGGAAATCAAATGCAAACATAGCGGCCTGAACAAGTAATGAAACTGATAAAGCCTTAATCCTTTTACAACCATTTGTAGACTGACCACACTTTCTTATTTTATTTTTTTTAGCTGATCATTTCAGTGCTCAAACATATCAGGCTCTCTATCCGGGACCTGAGCAAGTTTTTCGCAAAATCCGGTCGAACTGTGGGCAGAGAGAAAACGACTTGTCTTTGTCGTGTATTCCATTCGATATAGATTGAGAGGGAGTTGCAACTGATTGTTTTACATTTTACCCAATGTCCCAACTTCATTGAAAATTGGGAGTTTGTAAAAATGAGTTTGTTGTATTGATGATTTCCACAATGATTCAGAGGGTTCAATGCACATTGTCTCTGAATTTCGAGACTGCGGTGTGATAAGGGACATCGATTACGTTGACCTGTGTATATAAATGAAAAGCATAGAAACCAAACGGTGGCCAAATGACAATTCATATATGACAAAGATCGATTGGCAATCAAATAAGAGCAAGTCGGTAAAGCATTATTCTGTAGAATGCGGAAGGTGACTGCTCTATTTCGCAATGAGCTTCCACAGCTATGTAATTGAGCAACCATCCCGTCTTTTGAACATCATTCAAATTAACTCTCATTGGGACGGAGTTAATACTGCAGGCCAGTGAAGCAGTGCGGCAACTGAGATTGCTTTGGCTGGATAATTGTATTTATGACGACGCTTTTCGCGTGTCTTTTCATAGCCGGGCTCATTGTGATATACGACCAGGGACACTCAGACATATAAACCTGCCAAAACAGCTCACGATATCGGGTGGAGAGTAAATACCGGCTGGAAAATAGAAACGGCAAACATTCAGACCTGCTGCCATCCACGGACAATATCAGGCTACAACGCATTATGCATCTATCATGAATAAAACAAAATAGGTTTTTTTTTTTTTTTTTAGTGGACTGGTCAATAAGGCTCAACCCTGATTGAGCACGGTTAGAAGATTGAGTGCTGTTATGGGTTGGAATGGAAGCATGGATGGCATTTGGGATGACCACAATACCACCATGGAGGAAAGGAATTTAGGAAGCTGTTCGCATCGGGTTACCGGGGGGGGAAGCCTCTGAAATAAAACAGAAGTCGGTCTGAAATGGTACAGAGTATAAGATATAAGACTGATGGGGATGATGCACGCCCGATGATCAAAATCGATGCGTATGGTAAACGACAAAGGATTCACAGTAAAAAAAATGTAATTAAATTTTTAAAAAAACCATACAATGCTTTCAGTGCCTGTGATTTTTTTTTTCTTCTTTGCGCAATATAGTGGTATTAGTGATCATAGTGAGATTACTACCTCAGCAGTGATACTGATCTATTACTTCTGGTAGCATTATTCATTCATTCATTTATTCACTCATTATATATTATATTACTTTATTCAACAGTACGATACATTGAATGGCAGATGATGCGTTCAGGTACGCTTAGGCACAAGTTTGATCTCCTTTATGGCTCAGAGTTGACTCACAAATCAAAATAGTGTCGATTCCTCAGGAAAGTGGTCTAATTTGTTGTAAATAGTTCATTCGCATAATGTTGATTTAACTGGGATCCCGGTTTTTGGATCGTTATGATATTTTTTTTTTTTCTAGTGCTCGGTACTAGTTATGCCTGCCTGGCCGACATAAATATTCCTTGGCTGTTCAAAATGAAGGGATCAGGAACATTTTCTTCCCTGAATTTACATAACTTTGGTGCAAATTGGCTTTTGGTGGCAGGAACTTGTTTGGTTGATACAGTATTTACTTTAAGTCCTGTGTCAATCTTAGCACAGCAAAATACACAGATGTCAAGTTTTTGTTTGACTTGCCGTTGCACAAACTGGCACCAGTTTCAGAGTGAATGTTAGTGACCAAAATTTAAAAAACAAAAAACAGACAAAATTGACTTAAGTCAATAATACTTTCAATCGAATGCATAAATCAGGCAAGTGAAAACAGAATGGTAATGGAAAATGCTATCATGTGCGAACGTCAAGTTTGGGAAACTCAAGTGTTATGTGTAAAAAAAAAAAACCCGGCCGTGCGAACCAGTGTTGTTTTTATATTTTGTATTGTTAATTGTCAGATCCTGGAAATGTCTTCTTCTTTGTCATTATTTGTTTAGACAGCAGCCAATAATTTAAACACATGCAACTGACACCCACAGGACAACAGGACAGAACAGCAACAGCTTGTTCAAGGTCACATGCAGTATGTCTAAGTGTTAAAATGCACTTTGGTTACCGATATAAACGTGATACATTGCGATTAATGACCTACAAAGGCTGTAACTAAATCCACTTCATCAAGATCTAGCCAACCTTACTTTAAATGTATATTCTTGTATGATTTTACTTTCGTGCGGCAGACTTTAGTACGGCACACAAGATTTTCACTCACTGTCTGTGGCGGCCCTCCAGCCTGTGGTCTATAGGACCAATCGATAGTCATCTTGCTCGTGGGTCGACTGGTGGACGTGAAAGTGCAGGACAATGTGACAGTGTCTCCTGCGGATGCCTGGAGCTCTGCTGGAGAACTCACTGTGATGGGCGAGACAAGTGAAGGAGCTGCCAAAGAAAGAGCACAAAAGTGACACAAAGGAAAGGAAGAGATGGTGCAGATCAACAGATGTAATTGGATCAAAATGATCCGGGTTTGGAAATCCCATTTTTTTGCGATGCAGGATCAAGTATTCTGTTTTAATTTTTATCCAGAGCTTTCGGCACAAAAGTGACACAAAGGAAAGGAAGAGATGGTGTAGATCAACAGATGTAATTGGATCAAAATGATCCTGGTTTGGAAATCCCATTTTTTTGCGATGCCGGTTTCAAGTAATCTGTTTTAATTTTTATCCAGAGCTTTCAACACAACATTGAATTGGATCACCCTGATCCAGGTAAATTGTTTTCAAGATTACAGGTACTCTAAATGGGACAACATATCACAAGGTGGCCTAGCAGGAATGTAAAGAACAAAAGACAGAAGAGACATAAAGGGGTCAAAACAAGTAACACCCACTTCAATGTATGATTTATTTTATGAACACTCATCTGAGCCACGACAAATAACAAGTATACGTAAACAACTACAAAGTACTTTGTGGATATTTTGCTACGTTTAAAATAAGCTGAATGTCCAACAATACGAAACAAATAAACAAGACAGCTACTTTGCCCTGTGGCAAAAGCGGGATATGGCAATAGAAAAATAGATTCGCGCATTATAAAAGTACGGAAATATATCGACGAATTGACAAAATCTTTCCAACACCCGCGACAGTTTTCGGAAATTATGTGCTAACCGTTGTTGCGTCAGTGAAAATAACTTCGATACTGGTGGGTGAAACGCGAGTGAATAAACAACGTGAACGCCGAACTATGTTCCGTTTACTCACCGAGAAAAAAAAACAAATGGAACGGCAGCACGTCTTTGAGTGGGCCATTCCTGTGGCCATGTAGACGCATTTTAGGAGTTCAGAAAATATCCACTTGCGGTAGATACAAAATGTAAAAAAAACAAAAAAAAAACGAGGAACTGCATCAAAGCTTTTGAAAAAGTCCTTCTATTGTCTCGTTCGGCGTGACTCAAGGCTCCGTCGCGCAGCGAAATGAACGACTTGACAAACAGGTGGATCAGGAAGTGCGGCTTGATGGATCATCTCCGAGAGTAAAATAGTTGTGATGAAAAGGCACGGTCACCTAGGAGTCGAATATTAATCTTTACTAGTCAATATGTGCGAACTAGTATAACACACTCATGTCTCATATCAGGGTTGTGGAATAAATGCTCAAATGGCTTGCCATACCTTAATTGTTGATCGACCTCAAATTTTCAACAGTATGTTGTTGGTATGTCACTCGGGAGACCAGTAAAAGCATATATATAAATATATGCATTTTTCAAAGAATTGTGCTAAGAAAAGTGGAATATTTTTTTGGACTAATATTTGTCTTTTGCTCTGATGTCTGTCTGTTCGACTGCAAACATCAATTTTACAAATGGCTACACTAGAGGCCACTGTTGCAAACAAAAAAAAAAAGAAAAGAAAAAGGATTGCACAGCTGTCAAAGAAATGACAGTCTGTTGTCATTCACGTCTCTCTGCCAAAATATAACAGTCACCATATATTCTTCTGGACTCTTAATAATTCAAAATATATGATTCAATAGCGGCGAGAAGAAGCACAGCCACCTCAGTTGAGGTTTGAATCTGGGCTGTGACTTTCCTTTGGCTGTTTTTACACCGAAAAACAGCCATTGGTACTCAGGAGTGTGCTGCCCATTGTAGAGGTTTTGCAAAACCTGGAACTGGAAGGCCCTCTTCCCCTTCTCAAATTTGTGTTGTGGTGATCAATGGACTTTTGAGTGGCAAATTGCAGAGACCCACACATGGCACCCTCGCAGCCAGGTCTCAAACACTGCTTATCCAATAGATTGATTGGAGCATAAAGTTAGTGCACTCACCCAAGCAAAAGCATCATTTACACGTTCAAATGTAAAATGTTTCTTCAGACTGCGACATGTTTTTGTTTTCCCTCCACAAACCTTTTCTCATTTCACTTCGTGCCTCCTTCACGTGCGCAATTCTGGAACTTCCCGACAAATTTTGCGTTTTGGAGGCTTGATCGTCAGAGAAAATGAATTGTGAAAAGGTTTTCCAAAGTGACAGTCCTACCTCTGTCAAAGTGTTTCATAAGCCTCGTTCGCAAGTCACTCTCCTATCGCACGACTGGGGCTTGTTCCTAAGTGAGACATGGCATCGCGCATGTACTTAGTGTCCAAGTCGCCTGAAATCCAAAACTCCATTCCAAACTATTCCGATTTAGCTGCAGGAAAAAATGTTGGAAATAACTACATTGGTAATATCGCAACTTGGATGACACATGCAACCAATTCATAGACCATATTATTTTTTCACGTTTTTGATTTGTTATGATAAGTCTACTCTCTTTGTGAACAAAAGTATAATTCTAGCAATGTGTGCATATTTATACAAACTGTCCATTAGTGGTTTCAGAGTCTTTTATTATCATCTATGATCCCACTGAGGCCCGATTTGTTCCCTTATCTCCGATGCCAGCCAAACACTGAATGCCCCTCTGGGACAAGCCTGCTATTTCCTCTCCTGTCTTTACTGCTGTAATTGTCTCTAATTGGTAGATGTATGTGTTTTTACTTTATCTTTCTCTGTTTGTGAAGGTTTCTTTTGAAGTCTAAATATGTCTCGAGTTTGGCGCGGGTCGTTCTTCAGCCACTCCGTGAGTTGCCTTCTGACACTACATTGTTACATTTCATGACACGTCAAAGGAAGGTACACTCTGATAGTTCAAATAAAGTAGCTGCGTATGTGCAGTTGATAGTAGCACAGTCCTGTGGAAGACTGAAAGTGGAATTATTTGGTAGTGTAGTGATTCACATCGCCAAATGGGCCCGTACACAATCGCCCTGCGACTTGCTGACAATCGCTCTTGGGTGCAATCCTCTTGATGGACGGATGTTAAGTGGAATTTCTCTGCAGGAGGGTGTCTAGTTTGATATAAAGACACCGTGTGGCACTCTTGTGTACCAAAGCTCAGCATTTTATATCCAGTGTAAGAGAATAAAACATTATATAACAGTCCCTGCACTGATTAGAGACATATCGCTTTCTCTTTTGAATGCGTGACTACTTGTGCCATCCACATGTATTGTGTCACCTGTATTATGTCCTCGGATGTGCATGACTTTTTTTAGACTCGGATAACGAATCCCAGTGCTTCTTTCACATGCAGCACCGCATTGTGCCGCGATGTATTTGTGTGTGAGAGCACAGGAGGCTTTCTGTTTGTGTGGTGTCTGTTTCTGTTAAAAGCTCCTCTGTCGCAAAACAAAAGTCTTTCGTTTGCCGTCAAACTGTGAGAGGGGTTCAAATTGTTGGGCACAGACGGTGTACATGCAACCGTATTCGTTGAAATGAAAACCTTTCTTCTGTCTTTTCAACTCTTTCTTTGGACTCTTGATACTGATACAGGACTAGTTGGTGAGTGACCTGTACTCTGTGAAACAAAATTGAAATGGTTCTCACAAACAAGTAGGGCATTACGCAACAGTCGGTGGGAATCCTACGACGCTGAAAAAAAAAAAAAAAAGATCTTTTGAATTTACTGAATTACATGTACATCGGATCCACATTATTAAAATGGGATCAACCTTTCCTCTTTTTCTAAAAAAAAATATGCATTATTTGAACACACTGTAATCATGTGAAAAATGTTTTTAAAAAGTTTTTTTCAGTGTACACTGTGAACAACAACAACAACAACAACAATGTCCGATTGGCGTTTGTGTGCGTTACACTTTGAAATTCCTTCCTGGATCGATGTGATTTCTTTCACTCCGACATGACAAGTCCGTGCTTTTGTGCGTTTGCCTGTGCTCGAGCGTGCAATGGAATTTAGACGTATCCGTGCCAGGTACAACCCATCCTAAGGCGTGGAATACAGACCACATTGAAGTGAGTAAGAGAAGTAGATGTTGTTTTTGTGTCTGCAAGCTTTTTAATCAAAACAGAATGCTCAAATGTGACAGAGTCCAATAACTTTCCTGACACTTGTCTCAATAGTTTCTTTTGACTCTTACAGATACATCAGCAAAACAAAAAAACTTGCAATATGAGTGTGACAAAACAAATATACATTGTAGTCTTTTTTTAATACATACTATAAAATCCAGATGGGATCACCAGGCAAATATCGAAGCTCTGCAAAAGCGATTCAGACGCAGTGATGAAGAAACATCACCGAGAGAGAGAGAGAGAGAGACCCCTCGAAGGCCTTATCTCTCGCCGATTATCGACTGATTTTGTATTGCATGAATACACACTTTCTGTCAAGCCTGTTAACCCCGCCTTCATGTTCACACACTGTCAGACTGGCCACAGAGTAACTTAAATCGAACCCATGAGGGGTAGACTTTGATCAGTACACACACGCACACACACACACAAACACAAACCTGTTGACATTTGACTGGTAACTTATTTGCAGTCACGAACAGCCTCGTCCAGCTCAAGTCGAGGCAGCAGACCGCAGCCTTAAACAACAACTGAAGCTTTCAGGTAAACAAATGAAGGTTCTGCATAGCACACATGCGAGCAATGAGTTGTACTGCATTAAAGATAATGATGCATAATAAATGCTGGGAAACGGATTACTCTCTTGCATAATAGATGAATTTAATAAAAAGGATGTCAAATCATACGAGTGTATTTGAAACTAGGGCACGATCTCATTCATTGATTCATTCATGTGGCGTTAAGTATACTCAGCACAATGGAGTAAATATTTCAAAGTCATTTTTATTAGAAAATCATGATGAAAAACTATATACTCGACATGGAAAAAGGGAATGAAATACTTGAGGCGTTAACTAAAAGCCTAGAGGCATTGGTGCATATTGCTCGGCATGACATCATCAGTACAAAATAACAACAACAACAAAAAACGCATGACATCATCAGTACAAAATAACAACAACAACAACAAAAAACTTTTCTTTACAGTCGCATTGGTGGATGTGACGTACGGACAGAAGAAGGTCACAAGGACAGTTTGCATTCAAAGGTTTTTCAGATCAAAATTGCACTCCCTCGCAAATATACGGGCATATACGGTGGCTCAATCACCAGCAATCTCTTTGTTTGCAAGTGGAATATATTATCGGTAACAGAAAGTTGTTGTTTTACTTATTTTTGTTTTCAAGTCATGTCATGTAACATAGTGCGATTCCAGCCGATGGGATATAGAATGGATTCGGAAAACGACCGTCACCCGCTGTGTCAGCACAGTTCACATACAGCCTTTGTTCGGTCAGATCGGAATATTTCGACCGGAGGCAAAAAAACAAACAATTTTGATCCCCTTTCAAGGATTCTGAACCTCTTTGTGCCTCCTGCGAATCGTTCAAACGGGGACATCCGTCTGCTTTTTCCTTCCATTCATGATGACAGTGTGCGTGGCTTCACTAGCAAGGGCGCAGCGCACTCATCGTCTACTCGCCACTCGGACGCAATGTCGTCCTCAAAAGGGCATCCCCCCTCTGTCTGTTCCCACCTCTTTAGTCTGAATCGTCACCTTCGTCGTCATCGTCGTCGTCATCTGAGCTCGGGCCGTCTGATTCCGAGCTGGGATCTTTCGTGCTGGCCTCTGAGATCATTCCGTCTGAACTGTCAATCTCTATGGACGTCTGTGATAGGTACAGGTGGATGGCCCTCATTGGGTGGCTAGGACACGGGAAGCAGTGCGCCGTGGACGAGACGAGAGCAACACAACACACACACACACGCACGCACACAATGAAATACATGCATGCACGTTCATGAATGTTTCATGTACATGCGTGTGCAGGAGACATCACAGACAAAGAGGAAAGGACAGAGACAAGCAGATGATACAAACAGCAGCAGGGACAAAGGAGTTTGAAGTCAGACAGGGTATCAAGAACTTGCCTAAACTTGATCATAATGGATAAGATTCACCTCTGACCATATGTACCACCACCTGTGTTCAAAGCCACCTTTCTTTTTTTTTCTCAAGAGGCAAATGCCTTGACCTTCAACGAGATAAATTGCGCACAGGGAGATCTGAAAACCCAAGAATGCAAAGTGGAGCCCAAGCAAGAGAAGACATTTTTCAAAATAAGATGATTCGCTGTTCCGGACATTTCGAACAGCAAATGGTTTCGCGCTGACTTAAACTGTCAGCGATTATGACTGTGATTCTCCGAACTAAAGCACCTTCAATATTCTTTTAAGAGCCATAAACTGAAACCGCGTTATTTCACGGTTGCTTTTGCTAGTTTGCGCAAGACTGCATCAAACATCTTACTTGTACTGCACTGGCGTTTGAAATGTATTAGTCGGCAAGAAGACACTGGCCATGCACCGTTGTTCAAATGCCACGTCACCAAAACGCATTGTCTAAAAGGAAATGCTGTTTGAAATTCATTTAAGGGAACAGGAAAATACGCAGTGATTTAAAAAAAAAAAAAAAAAAACACTGCACAAGTAAAAGACACATTGTGATATTAAAAAAAGCTTGAGAGACGAATGCTCTGTGTCTGCAACTTTTACATAAGAGTTCCTTACTGGAACCCACCCTTGAAAGATTGTGGTTGGAGAGGAAGGAAGAAGTTGAATGTCCAGCGCGGAAAGAGTCAAAGGCCCCAGGAAGCCCGAACCCCCACAGTCAGATGGCGAGCAAGAGAGGAAGTCTACGATTCTTCCGTTCCTCTCTCTAGAACCCTTTTCTCCCTTCCCCGCCATGTTTCTCCTGGCCTTACCACACGGTGGGATCTTTTCTCTCTTTGCGAGGAGCTTCCACTTCCCCTTCCCGCCTTTGTCTCTTCCTCTTGCACCGCCTGCAAGACACGATGATGATGAGGAGGAGCACCACGACGGCAATCCCTCCGCCGATGGCAAACGCCAGCAGCAGAAGCTCAGAGAACGACGCTGGAGAAGACAACAAAAAAAGGCGCAATTCATTAATGACCGACATAAAGGTATTTTCGTTGACATATGACATGATTGAGGTCAGTTTGCAAAAACGGTGCAAGTCCTACTTTTTTTCTTCAGCTTTCATTATATTAATACTATGATGAAATCCAACCATCATGCCTTTTTCTTTGCTTTCGTGTGCCTCTTTTCCATCTTTTGTTTTCCCAACTTTTCAGTGTGGAATTGAAAATGCAGTGTGATCTCTTCACATATCGTGTGGGGAAACTAAAATCGAACCTGTAGTGACGACCCGCAGTCGAATCTCTCCAACCGAGCCGTGCACATCCGGGGGGTTCTTGACCTGGCAGGTGTAGGTGCCGTTGTAGGTGAACTTCACTTCACGAATTATGATGGAAGCGTCCTGGCCCATGACGTCACCAGCCCAGATGATGCGTTTCCGAAAAATGCCTTCCTGAGGAGGGTATGGCTTCTGCTGGTAGTGAAACACCTACGGGGGGAGAAGCAAGTTGATTTGGTTCGTTCACATCATTTACGTGTAAATAGACCGTTGCCAAGCCAGAACTGTTAAGAAAAGTAGAATAACTGCCATAATAATGATTGTAATTGTATTTGTTCATCCAGCTAAAGGAGGAAAAAAACTAATAGTTCTATTCTGGAGCAGGCAGAATGATTTTCAATGAGCCTCAAAGGGCCATTGTTCTGTTTGCACCATAATTGATTTTTTTCACCACATTGTTTTTTTTTTTTTTCCTGTGGAATCTATGCTCAGCTATTTGCTGAAAAACTCACATTTTTTTGGACCGTAAGGTGCCACAAGATGGCAACAAAAACCTGTCTAAATACTACGATCAAAACATATGTCTTAACTGCTTGCCTGCATGCTTGCTGGAAGCTCTAACGTTCGAGACAAACAGAATTTCATTGCTTTCCCACAACACACACACACACACACACACACACACACACACAGGGTCTAATTTGTCTGAATACTGGGCGGATCTCAACAGACCAAGGGGATGGATGCCCCCCTCATAAATGCTGAGGCAGCGGTCAAAACTTACCGATTCTTCTCGGCCTGGTTTAAGGGGTCTGAAGCTCCAGGAGACGATGATGTTATTGGGGTTGATGTTAGAGGAGCTATCGAATGTACACTTCAGACGAATGTCCGTCCCGTTGACTGCCTCCACATCCCCGGAAGTATAAATACGGATCCCGCTGACCCGCAGCACGCCTACAACAGAAGACATATGGCAACGCAGGGCATACGGATCAAAGTCAATCCAAAAAGTGCAGAAACAAACACAATAGGAATCATTCTCTTCATCTGCCTTTGAAGTGCTTGTACCCAGTGACCCTGCAGAAGAACAATGAATATCCGAAGAAAATTAAAAATATATAGAATAATAATAATAATAATGATATACAGTATGTGTAGTTTATATGTCGTGCCCACCCTTTCTGGAGACTGGAGTGATCGAAAAAAATTAAAAATATATAGAATAATAATAATAAGCATGTGTAATTTAGTTTATATATCGTGCCCACCCTTTCTGGAGACTGGAGTGATGAATGCATACTTTGGTCTCTCATTTGCATGTCATTTGTATGTAATGGAGTCCAAACGGCAGGTATTTTTCAGAGATCACTTGAACACTTAATCATCTCAACAGCCGCATTTCGATTTTCCAAAGGCAGACAGCAGACCACGTGAGTGCAGAGTCAACATCGTCATTCCACTCACGGCAGCTACAGAGCATGTCTTAATGTCATTGCAACATTCCAGGAGGAACTCCTAACCAAACAAAGTTACCAAAAACCTAAATAACTTTAGCAATCACAGTGACGCTGTGTGCACGTTATCCGACAGTCAGTTATTATCGCTCTTAAGTGCAAAGAGGAGGGAATGTTTTCACATGCCTGGATTTACGTGGGCAGGATGACAAGTCCACACACACATGCGAAGTGCAAAGAGGAGGGAATGTTTTCACATGCCTGGTTTTACGTGGGCAGGATGACATGTACACATACACACTCACACAAAAACCTTCTACAGATATACCGGTTCGGGTTGTGCTGTGGCATTGTCCACAGAGGAAACCATCAATATTTAAACATTTAGCAAATACAATATATCACGTCGCCAAAAACAATCAATATGAATGGAACCATCATTCAAGACAAATGTGAACAAATGCAAACAGGAAAGATAGATAAAGGAGCAAAGAACAAATATTTTAAAAAGTAAATAAAAATAAAGGTAGAAAAAGGTGACGTTGTATCATGCGTTGGACAAGACAGTTTGATAAACATTGCCAGCTTCAATCTTTTTCTTTGTTTTGTCAGAATACTTGAATGACAGAATGCATTGTCTGAATTCGCTACGAAAGACGACATACCGTGGCAAATATGAGTGTCTCCACTTGTGACAGAACCGACAACAAATTTGGAATGAGCATGAACTCCACCTACAGGACTGGAGTAAAATTGCTGATGGCTACTATCTTCAGATTTTCACAAATCTCCGCTCAGGATTTTTTTTTTTCTGCTTTGCAAAGCTCGGAGGCTGGATTTGTTTTCCTCACCATGGGTTTGTGTGAATTCTGATCTCTGAGGGTGGGGGGGAAATAAATCAATAAAAATGGCACATTGATTCAGCTACTGCTCAGTGACCGTGGGAATTTGAATGTGGCTCTCCGTCTTTATTTGTACCCTGTGAGTGCGTCAGCTGGGGTAGGCTCAAGCTCTCCTGTGTCCTTAATGAGCACTCTCAAAAATGCGATTATGAATCACATATACACTGTAGTCATTTATATACTACACTAAACGGATCCCCAAGGCGAATCTCAAACCAGTTCAGGCGTCATTGCCCTTTGGCTCTTTAATCCACAAAGCCTCAATCCACAGGCAAATCGTCTTCCAGACTGAACCTTGTCAAGACAGTGTTACCATCAGGGTATTGGTTTGATGTACAAAGTACTTGTTACGTCTATTAGCAATAATAATAAACTATAGCTCATACTCCAAAGGTCATACAACAGATTGCAGCAATTACAATTGTGAATAAAAATCCATCCATCTGTCCATTTTGTACTGCTTAGTTGAGGGTAATGAGTGAGCTAAAATCCTATCAAAGCTGACTTTGAGCCAGAGGCACAGTAAACCTCTGACTGGCTGCCATTCAATCACAGGACACAATGAGGCAAACAAACTCTCAATCACATTCACCTTTAGGAACAATTTCAAGTTTCACAATCGACGTAGCATTCACAGCTTTTGTGTATGAGGTGGACGTGCTAGCCAAAATCACCACCGCGCCGCTAGCGGAATACTAAAAGTGCTACCAGGTACGCTCGCTAAATCATATTGCTCCAGATGAGAAGAGGTCAGAAGGGCCATTCGGAGTCATATTGTTCCTTCGAGGCAGCAGATAGCCGGGAAAATGTCAGCAAGGCTTGGGAGCTTTGGCAGCACGTTCTCTTTCTTATCAGACTGGAGATTATTTCCTGTGGGTCGGGATGAGAGAGCAGGGCACCCAGACGCCCCCCCCCACCCCTGTACCATTAATAAGGCATCTCTCTCATCACTGGGTTGTGACTGCTTTAGTTCACTGTAATGGGATTCAAACGGGCCTGATGAAATGTGAGAGAAGGCAAATGTTGACATATTTCCATCACATTTGTGACAAAAAATACAAACATGCCAAAGTGACCAAATGTGGCTAAAGTTTTTCGGATGACAGTACATCAATTGCTTTTCGAACACGATGTGCACAAGAACATACAAGGATAATATGACAAAAGGTTTTGCAATGTCATGACTCCAAAAGCAGTGGGAAGTCATGCCAACATGCAAATACATGCAAATTTTCTGTAAAATCCCCAAATTACTCGGACGAAACGTTTTGCTACGATGATTTTTATGGCTGCCTCGCTGTGTGCTTGACTGGCAAACACTCCAGGGTAAAGTCTACTTTTCCACAAGACAATATTGTAAGCAGTCACCGTAGAGATGAGCAATGGTACAATTTCTCCTCCAGTCAAATTATTTAAAAGCTCAACGGAGTCATCACACTTCGTTTGGCAAAGAGGGAACACATCTTCAAAGCTATAACACATCATGCCACATGTCTCCCTTAACCAATCAGTACTTGAATTCTAACAAGCGTCGCTAATCTACGCTTTCGAGTACAGCCGAATACCGGTTAAATTTCAATTAAGAGCAAATAGCAGAGTGCCAACTCCGACGCTCATTAACAAAATTGCTTTGCTGGATTCTTACAATTTAAAGCACTTTAATTATTGAACAGTCATTGCTGTGAAGGTATGAAGTTTGATTGGAGTGAAAGAAAAGAAACACTGTAAAAATAGTAATTTTTCAGTCAAATAAAATGGGGAATGGGCTTTTAATCCGATGGTGCTATTCAAATTTGAAGCTACTGAGAATTGAACTCATAACCTTCAGGTTGGGATGGTCGACGATCACCTGAGCAATGCAGTGCTGACAGGATCATGCGTTGCATGATTATTTTATATATTTTATTGCAGTAAATATATGAGTGTAACCAAATGTGAGGTAAACCTTACTTGATTTTTTTGAAGTATTTCACAAATTTTGGATTAAGGTGCTGTTTACCCAAAATATATTATTTAAATTGACCCAGTTAAAGTGGCTGCAAATTGTTGCCCTACATTTATTAGGTAGATTCTATTGTTGTTGTTGTTGTTTTAAAGCATAGGAATATTTGACTCGTTTTCTATGTCACGTTTGGTACTGATATAAAATAGGTAAGGTACCGTAATTTCTGGACTATAGACCGCACCTGATTATAAGCCGCACCACTACATTTTTAAAGGAAAAAAATATTTTGTACACACATAAGCCGCACCTGTGTATAAGCCGCAGGTGCCCATATTGTAACATGAGATATTTACAAAGAAAGACGGTACACAGGCGGCCGTTAGAAAAGTCTTTATATAAGCCGCTTCATGAAATAAGCCGCAGAGTTGAAAGCGTGTGACAAAAGTCGCAACTTATAGTCCGGAAATTACGGTAGTTATAAATTACTCTATATTTCATAATTCCTTCACTTGCCTAAAATAATCGGGTACATTTCACATGATTTTCATGGGTTATATTTACCACTCTCCAAAATCAGGAGACAGGAAGAAAAGAGTTTAAATTAGAGCATGAGCTCACGTGGTGAAGGGCAACAGGATAATGGAGTACGTACTGAAGCTTGTTAGGAAGCGTTATTTGTTTAGGTCTATGTCGGGCCATTCTTCCACCCCACCATATCTCTTTGTCTGGTCTAAATCGTTCCCTTGTTTAATGTGAACATCCTGCTTGGCTAATGTCAACCACACCCATCTTCTAGTGGGAAAGAGCGGAAAAGAGAAACATTGAGGATGAAGCTATGGGCCATACAGACGTGTAGACGTTTTGTGTGTGTGCGTGTGTGTATTCTTTGGCCACTACATTCAACAATGTTGCCATTTGTCCACTATGTCAACGCCAAACTTGCTGAAACCACTTTTTTCTACTAGTCGGTACGTATGACATGCCTGGAGTAGAAGACACAGTGGCCAACTGGCCAGTCAGAACTCAAAGAAAGCAAAGGCTTTTCATGCAGCGCAAATTAAAGCAAGGCCACCTTGGGGGCATTCGATTTGCTTGGCTTTCTGAAAGATTTTGCTGGGTTTATAATTTCATTTTGCGTGGTCATTAACAGCCGCTTTAACAGAAGAACCGGATATCTTGATTCAGCAAGAGAATGTGACGCCACTGCTGGACACATCAAGAACTGCAACAGTTTTATTCGAGGCTGTTTTGTGCCTTTCGAGGCACACCTGAGTCTCTGTTACATCGGTTGTGGAGGAAACAACACAAGGACGTGGACAAAACATGAATAGCTCAGTGTATCACAAAGAGCCTCTTCTCTTCTTTGAGTGGGGCTTTGCAGAATCTTTTGGAAACAAGGCATGTCTTTCATGGTCAGGATTCAAAGCTGGAAAGAACAGTTTCAGGTAACGGTGCGCAAAACAGGAGGACCGAGACTGGTGAAATGTACTCGACATGTAGCTTACTTTGCATGTACAGTATACAACTGCTATATTTCGACACACTCCCTGGGCGGGATAGCAAAATGTTATTGTTATGACTAAAGAGTGAATGGTTTGACAGTATGAGCTATGCGATTGACTGGCGACCAGTCCATTGGACTCTGCCTCTCACTCGATGTCAGCTGAATTCATGAAGACGAATGGTATGGAAAATGGACGGATGATTACATTTCTGAAAGAGTGATCTACAGATTGGAAGTGGCAAAGCAAAGCAAAGAAAAGGAGGGCAGAGGTTGAGTTCGATTTTGAAAACGACATATCTTTTGAGAAGAGTGATCTACAGATTGGAAGTGGCAAAGCAAAGAAAAGGAGGGGAGAGGTTGAGTTCGATTTTGAACACGACATATCTTTTGATCAATACTTATATACAACGGATCGATACATTTTGGCACATTGATATAAATAAGTGGACGCGTCAGTAAATTTGTCCAATCCGTAAACTGTAATTTGCAATCAAAGACTGCCTAAAGCAGGTTCTAAATTCCGTAGTACAACTGAAATTTAGAGTGTGCGTAAGTACAAAAAAAGAAAAAAATCCTTCTTCATTTGTCGTACGCGCACCAGTATGTAATATGTATTGATAACTTCCACCCATTCTAGACTGCCACGCTTGTCTAGCCTCATTTGCATTGAGAGATGACATTGAAAGATTGAGCATATATCGTAGCAGCAATCTCTTTCAGAAATCCAAAAGGTGACCAACTCAACTCAAACCAGCTTGGCAGGATGAATTTGTAAGATAAAATCGCTGTCAAGTCCTGCTACTTTGCAAGGTAAAATTCTTAAAATTTGAGTTTTACTAGACTGCAGCCATACATTGGTTTTGAAAAGGCAAGAAGTCGAAGGTCACAAATGCGCCGGTTAACATCTGGTCCACTATTTGAACCTTGACCTAATTAAAGAAACTACCAAAAACCCGTTCAGTGATCAATATGCCAAATTCCTGTTTGAAGCCAACACAGCCTTTTGTCTTCAAGACTTCATAAGGCCGGCGCACCTTGCTTCCGCAGATGTGTCCTGAGTCCTCCGAGCCGGTCGGTTCTGTGAGTTCAGTTCGAACTAGAGAGAGAGAGAGAGAGAGAGAGAGAGAGAGAGAGAGAGAGAGAGAGAGAGAGAGAGAGAGAGAGAGAGAGAGAGAGAGAGAGAGAGAGAAACAAGAAAGTCAGGACAGGTTGGCACATGTCAACAATGTTGGCTTCACATAAGGCTTTTTTGTGAAAATTATCAGGTTAGCGAAATTAATACTGAAAAAAAAGAAGCAATGCTGTTTATATATCTTCAAGCCAGAGGAAACTCACCCTTGTACAATTATGCCGCATAGAGGGAAGTACTTGTAAATTCCTGCTGCCTGCATGTGACATGTTCTTAAACTTGAGTTTCTGACTGAAATGATTTTCAGACTACTGCCTGCAGTTAGCAGAATGTTTGTAAATATTGCTTGTTCATCAACAAAGTGTAATCTTGTACAAGTCTCTGAGTGTTCAAGGGAAGAATGTTCAAGGTAAGCAACAGCCCCGAAGGTACCACTGCAAGGACAAGAATTGCCGAATGCGACTTACAGTGGAACCTCCGTTCATGAACGTCCAAATTCACAAACAAATAAGTTTCCAAAAAAGATTTTCAGACAACTCTTGCTTCAGTTCCAGAATAGTCCACGGGGAATGAGTTGTGCTTTCTTTCACACAGTGTCAAGTGTTTCAGGTGTTTTTCTGTGAATTGTATGAGTAAAGCTTGCATTAAAAGAGATGTGTGAATAATGCTGTTTATTAGGAAGCCCTGCAAAGTGTCGCAATGGCGGCAGTTCCCGGTAAACTCTCACGGGCGCTCCTCGCCTGTCACCTGCAAAGGCAACTTAGCTCCGGGGCTGGAACAGATTCATTCTGTTTGCATTTATTCTAATGGGGAAAAAAATCTTTAGTTCCCATTCCGAACCTCGAAACAAGGAGAAAAAAAAAAATCAGGAATTGAGTGCTCGCTTATATCAAAGCTTTTCTGTTGAATTATTGGTGATGTCATCCATCTGTGAGAAAATACCATTTTGCCATACATGGTTGCAATTTTATGCCCTGAGGTCAAATGCAAAAAAATTACAAAACAAATGTCTGTTTGCTTGTCTGAGCATGACTCGCAGTGTTTGCCAGGATAACAAAGCTGAAGGATGCGATTGCGGTGACACAAAGCCATGGCATTGTGATGAGTTAAAGCACACCTTTTTTCCGAATTACGTTCTCTCATTTGTTTAGCAATTTCATCCTTACCCGGGATTCCGACGTCCTCCTTCCTATGCTCCTTCAACAGTGGTACTTTAGAGCCATACACTTTATAGCTACTAGTTCTTTGACTGAGATTTCATACAATCTGTATCATCAATTTAGCAGGGATTATAACCTTAAATAATTATTTGTTTAGCAATTTCATCCTTACCCGGGATTCCGTCGTCCTCCTTCCTATGCTCCTTCAACAGTGGCACATTGTAGGCATACACTTTATAGCTAATAGTTCTTTGACTGAGATTTGATCCAATCTGTATCATCGATTTAGCAGGGATATAACCTTAATTAATTAGTACAGTACTGGCAGATGATTTGATGTTGTTGTATCCCCCACTGACTGACACGTGAGTGGCTTTAACATTTAACAAGCGGAAGCATCTTATGTTTCATTGTGTCCATGCATGGTCTAAATCGTGATGTCAATGGGCATATCCTGGATATCCTGAGACTTTGTGTGCGTCAAACGGTGCCACACAATGTACATTCCAGTAAAAGGGAGGAAATGAGTGAGGGGAAAACAAAATGTAGCTGTGACAATTGCCTGATTGGCAATTACTGCCAAGGCATTCTATTCCCACTCTTGATTCCTCCCTGATGGCTATTTAGCGGCGCCACTGCGCCAGGTTATGACGCAGGACGACCGCTCCAAGACGCAAGTTCAAGTCCCTTCGCGATTTTCGAAGGAATAGTATTGTCCTAAGAGTATCACCCAGGTGCAACGCATAACCACGTGTTTGTTGTCATTCAGAACGATGTGGAATTAGTATTCATCCTTACATAACTTGGTTGTTCAATGAGTACAAATGAAGAGAATCTCTCACCTGAGACTGCGAGTCCACACAGGAAAAAAATCCCCTTTCCGCACATTTGGGAGACTGTCCAGTGATCACGACGACAGGAGACTGACGAACCTCCTAAGACTAAGAGAGTAAAAGTTCTCTCTTTTTAAAAATTATTTTATTTTGTTTTTGTTTTTTTTTAGCGAGAAATCAACTCGTGAGTCCTCACCTCGACGTACTTCATCGAACCACCGAGGACGCGTCCTGACTCGTCACTGTTTTTTTCTCAAGTCAGCCAAGTCCTCCCACTCAGTGCCTCCAACTCTCCTCACTGCCTCCTTCCCTTCCCTTCCCCTCTGCCTCCAACTCTCCTCACTGCCTCCTTCCCTTCCCCTCCCTCCCTCCCTCCCTCCCAAACGTAAATTCGGACTGCAAAAATGTTTGGTTGCTTCACCAACCTGTTTTGCTGTTGGGTTCAATGGCTGTTGCGCAATCGCGTGACGAACATTCACGCTTATTTGAACGAAAACGTGACGTAACGCCGCCTGCGCTTAATTGGGAAACAATACACCGAGCGAAAAATTATGAATAATAACGATGACAAACTGAACGTCAAAGATATAATCGGTGTCACATTATATGTTAATAGACAATATAAACTTAGATATGGCACTCAAGATAATGTAGCTGTTTACATATTATCCATCCATATCGCTTCTATTTTAACAATTTTTATCGGATAAATTCGGTGGTTTGAGTTTAAAGATCAACATTGTCACAAATCAAATCAATGTGAATTAAGGCCAATAAGACGTTTATGCATTAACTCGATTAAAAAAAATACTAGTTTACTTATTTATTTTCTTAATCTCCATCGTTGTTCTCTGTTTTAATCTAATGTACGCTTAGATAACTGAGCATGGCGTGCTATGTGCATCGTAAACCATAAGAGGGCAGGAAAACACTTAAATTTATAGCTACCAGTCAGTCAAGTGCTGTACCGTGCGGTACAGTACATGATTTTATTCGAGTTGGCAGAAAAATATGTAGTTTGGAAATAAAATTTCATCATCACAGTATATTTAGTATTGTTTAAAACTACACAAATAAAATACTGTCAATCCAGCGCGTTCCCGCGTCCGTGTGTGCTTGCATGTGGGCGCGTGCGTTCGTGCGCGTGTCCGCGTCAATTTGTGAAGGGTAGACAAGAGATCAGCAAGGTCCCAAAGCTTCTTGTAAACGTTGAAGCGAATGCATGGAGAGTTTTGAGTCTTGAAGAGAATTACTGGGGGCCAAGGGGGAAAAAAACAACACCGAACTCCTGAAATATAATCTTCAAAAGAATATGTACAACGCCGCTCTGCTTTTTTGTCACCTCTTGATAATAAGTACCGTGGAAGCTGGTACAGGTAAATGTTTGCTTTTTTTTTGTCGGATATATAACTGAAATACATTTTAATTTGTCTCGTTTACCTCAAATTGCAAAAAGTCAGAATCAGCATTGGCGTAGCTGAAAAGAGGGCTCAAACTTTCTGCCTTTCAGATCTCAATTCCCTATTTACTGTATATGAAATTACACTTGACAATGAATGCCTGTTGATGTCTTTGGTATGACAATAGCGTTGTGTTACGTGAGCTAACATGTTACAGAATGGTGCTTTGGTTGAAAGGCGACTAGAACGCAATTTTTTATTTTATTTTGTTTTTTTTTGTTTTGTTGTTGTGTTATACAAGGTGGAGTGTCATTTTGGAGGGACAAGTTCACAATGACATGTCCGGAAAATGGGAGTTGGTTCAAAAAAGAACAATCCATGGACACTCCAGGCCACTCCTTGACAGTTGATGGCAAAAACAAAGGCCTTTACCATTGTGAATATGTTCAGAACAACAAAAAGCTCAAGTATTACTTCTATGTGGAAGGAAAGGGTGAGTACACACTTTGTGTTTGTTTGTGATCTTTGGCGATTGTTGAGGTCTTACTTGCTGTCCACCCGTCTTCAGTCTGCGCTAATTGTTTTGAGCTGGACGCAGCACTGTTTGGGGCGCTCATCGTTGCCGATGTAAGCATAACAGTTCTATTGATGATATTCATCTACAAGTGCACCAAGAAGAAAAGTTCACCGGGTATGAGAGGTAAGAAACAGTGTGACAGAGTGACTGTGTTCTGTGGGTGCAAGTACTAATGTCCACTGAGGTCAGAAATATGTACGGCTTTTACTTGAAGCAATCTAAAGGAGAAGATACCGGGACAGCCCAATGTATTCTGCAGTGTGGCATGAAGTGTTTTACATTCCACTTGAATTACTTTAAAAGTCAACTTTAAATACATAATAAATTATATTAAATATATACATAGAGTTGATTATTTTACTATTATTATTTGATTGCATTAAGAATAATCAAACGCATTTCTTACATCGTGAACAGTTTTTTTTTGTTTTGTTTTGTTTTACATTTGGATTCGTGATGTGTAATTACATTTTTGAAATCATCTGTTAGGACATGCAGGCCCGGCCGTCCCTTCTCCGGATTATGATGTAAGTACAGGATGATAGCACACTCTATTTTCCACGATAACATGTTCTTACAAGAATTCAGTTGGGAACTACATCATGTTTTCAACCGGAGACGACAGTGGAATCACTCAGGCTGGGCACTCTCGTTAACCTCTGATCGTGGAAGAAATATTGAAAATATTGGCAATGGGAAAAATGTGTCACATCATTATCAGACAGTTCTAAATTCTCGAAATCGTACTGCCTTGAATGTGTGTCGGCTTACTACTGCTGCAATGGGAAAAAATGTGTCACGTCATTATCAGACAATTCTAAATTCTCGGAATCGTACTGCCTTGAATGTGAGTCGGCTTACTACTGCTGAGCTCGGGCGTGGGGTGGTCTCAAGAAACTGTCAAAAGCAGGGGGGGGGGGGGGGGGGGGGGGGGGGTAATAAATGAATACAAACGGTGGGGAAATGCATTATTCAGTTTCTCTTCATCAAAAATCAAATCACTCAGCTACCTTGTCTGCAGACCGAGTGACTTTGAAACCTCCTTGTTCTGTTTTCTGCCATCAGAGATGCCGTATCGCGAGCCTCTAACAGCGTCATTATTCTTTTGTTGACAGTACCTGAACGCGCACGGCCAATCCCAGGACCCATACTCTTTTATCAACAGCGGCAAACCAAGATGAGCCACCTATGGCAGGTTACAAGTTGAAGACGGAAGACAAGCAACTAAATTAATCAAGAGACGTTTTCCGCGCTCGTAGTCTGGCATCTCACACCGTTTATATTGCCACGAGGAAGTCACTCATTTCATCATAATCAACATTCACAAGCATGACACAAAAGTAGGATCATGACTCAACTTATTCCCAAGGGAAAAAAATACAAAAAGTTCAACTTTATGTGCAAATTGGAGCATTTCACAGCAACAACGTGTGGCCATTCGTAACGTCAGTGTGCAATACACTTGACAAACATGGTTGATATGCGATGGACATAAAGGGCGACAGAGACTATGAAATGGGACTTCTAAGGTCAAAAAATAATGTGCCCTTAGGTGCTGGATGATCTCTTATTTGGTATGAGTTCATAAAAAAAAAAAATTGTGCATGTAGAAAATCTTGGAAATTGGAATACATCCATTACTCTTTTACCAGCCAAATTGTTACCATCATAAAACCTTTATTAACTGTGCAAGGTGCAAAACTGTTCTATTTTTTTTATATATATTTTAACATTTTACACTATCGTAGAAGTAAGATAAATATTTACCATGACTTACCTGTCTTGTAGGGAAGTGCAGAAGAAAACAGCAGGCTTGATGGTGAATTAACTTCATTTCCTACCTGTTACACGAGTGTAAAAATAAGTTAACCTCTGCATAGTAAAACTAATAAATAAATACTAATGTTTGTATACCCACCTGGCGGCCTGGTGGGCGAGTGGTTAGCGCGTCGAACTCACAGTGCAGAGGTACCGGGTTCAATTCCAGCTCCGGCCTCCCTGTGTGGAGTTTGCATGTTCTCCCCGGGCCTGCGTGGGTTTTCTCCGGGTATTCCAGTTTCCTCCCACATTCCAAAAACATGCATGGCAGGCTGATTGAACACTCTAAATTGTCCCTTGGTGTGAGCGCGAGCGCGGATGGTTGTTCGTCCTTGTGTGCCCTGCGATCGGCTGGCAACCGGTTCGGCGTGTCTCTCATCTACTGCTTGAAGATGGCTGGGATAGGCTCCAGTACCCCCGCGACCCTTTTGAGGATAAGTGGATCGGAAAATGGATGTATACCCACCTATCACTTTGATGAATGTACAGAGCAATAAAATGTTTTTATATGATTTGCCATATTTTTTTTTTTTTTTTTTTTTTGTGAGTCAACTTACTTTTTTTGGGGGGGGGGGTTAGAGCGGATCGTGATATCCTTTAATGTTTGATATTTTTAACATTTTCTAATTAAATTCATACTTCCATTCCCAATAACATCATTCTTCTTTTACATATTCTATTTCCATGATGCATTATAGCCTCCCGTCTGTATGACCATCAATTAACTATCAAAATATTCTTGAGAAGGACAGTTCAATAAATGCAGTTCATGTTCTCATTCTTTTGTATGTTTGCGGTCGGAAACATGATTGTGACACTTTGACAGATATGAGTGGAGGTTCAACACGCGTCGCCACCATGCATCCGCCTGCGGCACATATCCGTTCGGCTCCCACGTGCACAAAGACGCGGTGGAGTCACTTGCTTGTGTGTGAGGGGGGTGGGGGAGGGGCCAGATCATTGAAGCAACATCTTGTCTGCTCCCTCCTTTACCGCGCAAAAAGGCTTGGCTACTCAATTTGTCAGCGCTGCACATCCCCGGCGGCATCTAAAACATGACGTCACTTAGAGGTCGCATTTCTTTGTTAGGCCTATTAATGAATCATGAGTTATAATAATACTCCCACTTACTGTTAAGGAAGTGTGGCTGTGTGTGCGCGCGTGTGCACGTGCATGTTTGATGTGTGTTGAGAAGGACTGATACAAGAAGAGATTGGCTGGGATGTCTTGGCTTTCTGTTCAAAACTAGTTGAGTTCTCGGTGCCCCTGACAATTTGATGGCTGAAAGTTGACTGAACTCTACGTGTAACTACTGTCGCAGGGTGATTTAATGTGTTTTAGTGAGTTTCATTAACGTGCAGACAGACTGATTCTGAGCTTCGAGGACATGTGTGGTGGATGCGATTTTAGTCATATTGTAAATATGACAATTAGGCTTTAGACCAGGGGTCGGGAACATATGGCTCGCGAGGCAGATGTGGCTCTTTTTATGATTGCATCTGGCTCGCAGATAAAAGAGAATATTCTCGCTTGTTTAATCCATCCATCGATTTTTCACTGCTCACGTCCTGTTCAGGGCTGCAGTTGGCTCAAGGAGCAATTTTGATTGGATGATACTGGCTTACGTTGGCCGTTGCTGTGGAAACAGGGAAACGCCCCCTTTTGAATCAGCCTGCTCGGTGATTAGCTCAAAGCTAATCCTTTGACGAATAAAATGGTGAAAAGAAAAAGATGACGAGTATGGTACACTTGTGTGTGTCTCTTATGTTTGAGAATATAGAGTGTGTGTGTGTGTGTGTGTGTGTGTGTGTGTGTGTGTATATATACATATATATACACACACACACACACACACACACATAAAAAATATGACTCTCACTGAAATACATTTCCAAATATTTTGCTTTTATGGCTCTCTTAGTCAAAAACGTTCCCGACCGCTGCTTTAGACGATCAGGATTGTGAGGCGATAAGCGATTAATGAGTATGAAAATGATGCTCGATCACCGAGTTGACCAGAATTTGAACGTGTGTATTTATTCGACACCCGACCATCGCCATTCACAGGGGACATGGAAAGGCTCGGCCCTCAAATGATAAAAATCTTTGAGTTTAATGAGAAAATGTCACTCGGCAAATAAGTAAACAATAGCATTCGACATGCATTGTTCCCACATCGATGTAATCAGGTTTGACGAACAACCGTGACACAACGCAACAGCACAATGTCTTGTGTCTATTCTGTTCATTACCATCACGATACACAGGAAAAGCAAAGATAGATGTGAAACTGTTTGATATAGGGTGGAAAAAGAGACACTTTTATAAAGCTGTGCTCAGGAACAAATTTTCTTTTACTTCCGTGGCCACACTATATTTTCTGAGGGTGGGCCAGCAGGCTGTTATTTGTCCAAGAGGGTAATCTATATTTCTCTCCGACCACCTCTGTGGCTCAGCTGAGGGAAGAACAGAAATGCACATTGGTTATTTTTCATTTCATCAACGAGAAAATTATATCTTAGCATTCTTAGATTTACTTTACCTCCTGGTAATCAGCATTTGGGACTCTTTTCTGTGTCTCATTTGGAATAAGATGTTTTCTGTCAGTGCCTGAATGGAAAAAATACATTTAACACACAGCAGGAAGATCTAGGAATATCAATTTTGCTTCGTGCAATAGTGTCTAACATTTCTAAGTTACACTGGAAAAGAGATTTTGCTGAATTTTGCCAAATTTATTTTCATCAAGTGGTTGCATGCACTAAATAAAATCATCAGGATCCAGATCCACTTTTTAAGTTGACGATCCATCAACTTTAAAAAATGCATCTGCATCCGGATGATTTTATTCTATGTGACTACTTGACCAAATAAAATGGAGTAAATTCAACACACCATTTTTTTTTCAGCATTGATATTTATCTACACAGTTAGTTTCCCAAAAGCTGAACTTGATCATCCTGTCCAAAACAAACGTTTCAAACTGGGACGGATGCAGGAGAGAAATTTACTTCTGTGTGGAGAGGCGATAACAGAGGCATGAGTCTGTGATGCGACGAGATAGACAGCCACTCCGAGAACAATGGTAGCTATTAAATCTCCGACAGCTAGACCTGATATGGACAGAAGGTCGAGCTCCACGCAGTTATCACAGGCTGGATAAAAAAATAAAAAAAAAACCACAAGTGTGAGTGGGTCAAGGAAGCTCCTATTCAACCCAATCATGGCAGCCACTTGTTCCAAACAGGTGTTTGATGAGCATTCCTAAAACTTGCTCAGTCTTTTTTGTCACCTGTCCCAGCTTTTTTTGGAACGTATTGCAGCAATACAATTCGAAATGAATGATTGTTTGCTCAAACAACAAAGTTGATCGGTTTGAACAAGAAATATCTTGTCTTTGTTGGTTGAACATGATTTGCAAAGGTACCCAGAATTTCTCGTTCTATGTCCATTGCTGACATCAGTGTTTCCGCATTGAATTTTTCAACTTTGCTTTGTGCAATATTGTCAAACATTTCTAAGTGACAGGATATAAATCAAGTCAAAAGTCCAAAGTAGGAGACGTAGAACTTACATCTGAACTTCACAAATATTTCTTGTCCACTTGGTTGTCCCGTTTCATCCATACATTCGTATTCTCCAGAGTTGTCGTCTTCGTATTTTAAAGGAAACGTGACTCTCTCACCATCTTTTGACACAAATTTGTTTCCGCCACATGAAATAGTAATTTCTGAGGGTCCAGGTTTCACTTGAATGTCTGTGAAGAACAAAAAACATGAATGGACTCATCAGGTTATACCATACGGTGCCTTTTCATCAAGTGACAGTTTCATAAACAAAATCCCATCCTTCGATGAACTGTACCTTCGTCACAGCAGACAAATTCTGTGGGAGAATTCAGAAAGAACATGCGATGGGCCTCATTAAAATGAAATGAAATGTCTCCAACCACGAATGATGACAGAACAAGAAAATCTCACCAGTCAGCGTCCAAACAACCAGAAAAGAAGATAAAACTTTGTCGCTTTTCATTGTGTCATCGGAGTTGTGCTGGTAAAAAGAATGAGATGTTTTCATTGTGTGCACAGACAACAGGGACGTGCCAACAAATTTTTTTCCTTTAAACCTCAACGAAAACCACTTTTATCGCCTCATACAGGACTTTTGTGGGGAAAACCAAGTGATAAAAATATGAAGCGTCAAAAGGCCGTAATATTTGGTTTAAATCAGAACATGCACTATACTTCGAAGCCAAGCTTACCCGAAAGCTATTTAAGGTCAACACGATACAATATTGACGTTGAAAATACTGACCATAAAATGTAGATCAGTCGTGCTCCCAGTGCTGTCGCTTTTTCTTGTCTCTGTCTTGAGCTGGGTGAGTGTGAATAGGAAGTGAGTGTGATTGGCTAACTCAGCTTAAGCGTCACTGTATTTTTCAACATTTTGCAGAATGTAAAAACAAAAATACACTGCATGTATTTGTATATTTGTTCTTCGACACGGTCTCATATTGCTCCTCAATGGCATTTAGTCGTTTTATTTTTGTTACTTCATCGATGAGGAAAAATGTCAACACAAACACTTCTGAGATAAGCTCTCACGCTTCCACTCGACATACTGCAGCGCTACAATGCTGAGCGTGCCATAATGGAATTTATTTATCTGCCTTCACCAGTTGGGTTGAGGTGAAGAGACAGAGCAGGTGGACAAAGGTGAAGAGAACGCAATTATGATGGTGGTCCATTTTTAACATAACCATTGATGGCACGACTGCATGGTGAGAAGTGCAAAGAAGTAGAGGAGCAAGTACTTTGTTTCGTATGTTTTTTTTAGGTATCTTTACTCAACCTGTGCATTTCCATTTCCGATGACATACTCCCTACATTTCAAAACAAATGTACTTTCTACTCCTTTGCCAAAATAGACTTTTTACTTCATTGAACCTCTGAGGATGACGGTGGTGACCTCCATCCATTCATTTTCTAATCCGTTTATCCTCACGAGGGTCGTGAGCCTGCTGGAGCCTATCCCAGCTATCTTCGGACAGTAGGTGGTCTACATCCTGTACTGGTTGCCAGCTAATTGCAGGGCACGCACGGACAAAACAACCATTTGCGATCACAATCACACCTAAGGAAAATTTTGAGTGTCCAGTAAACCTACCGGCCAGGTTTTGGGAATGTTGGATGAAACCAGAGAAAACCCTCGCAGACACATGGAGAACATGCAATATCCACACATGAAGGCCGGAGCGGGAATCGAACCCTGCACCTCTTCACTGTGAGGCCAACGTGCTAACCAGTCACTCACCGTGCTGCCTCAGAGGTGAGACGAGGACAATGGAGCAAGAAATACTGAAAGGCAGCACAGAGCCAAATACAAACCAAGTGACGAGACAATGATGAACACCAGAACAAGACACAAGTGGTTGAGGGAACGGAATGGACAACGGATCGGGATGACAAGCACAGGTGGACACAATAACCTAACAAGACAGACAGACAAAGGGACACGAGGAAAACTTGATGAAATTAAATGCTAATCAAAACCAATCATGACACACACTTGTTCAATCGAAAACAAAATCAGGATGTGTTTTCATAACTTAATACTGCGTGGTTGTTGTAGATATTGTTTCGCTTATGTTCAAATTGTATATTACCACGCAAATGCATCTGAGGTGCTTCAGGAAGCAGATACGTTTACCCACAGCGAGACACAGCTTCCTGTCTGAACTGCTGCATCGAAACCTTGTGAGCCACAAACAGCACCTGGTGGTGGTTCTCACTCACACAGCACACATTCATCTATGTCCACAAAAGTCATGCAATCAGATCCCGTAGTTGCTATTCTAGCATTAAAAAACGTATAATCACGAAAGCTTACAGTACAAAAGGCACAGGCCCTCCCCTTGCGTCGTATTTCAGCACTGTTCACCAACTCTTCACAAATACCAGAAACACGTTTATTTAGCACCCCCTGGTGGATGTCAGAAGAGCCACGATCAAGGAGAAACATACGTTGACTTTATTCAGTACGATCTTCATGTGAATACACGTACAAATACACATTTATCTGTAACCTTCTCCATAATTTACATGTAAATACATTTTTGCATCAAATTAATTTGTAAAATATTATACACAGTATGTCATCTGAGAGATTCTGGAGTGTGCATAGCAGAATAAAGGCATTCCATTTCAAACAGCAGGAAATTACGGAGCCCGCCCTAAGGTGACATGAAAGGGGGGAAAAAAACCTCGGCGTTATCTCGCAAAGATTGCGAGATAACGCGTTTTTTTTTTCTTTTGCATGCGAACGCTTTTTTTTTTTACCCGTTTATGTACTTCAGAGTTATCTTTCGAGTAAACGAAAGCGACAAATATTGAGCGTTTTTACCCGTGGGCAATTTTAATTGAATTTTACTTTGAAATTGGCTTAAAATAAAAAAGCCATAAAATCTGTTCTTGATTTCAAGCAGGGATTCGAAATAAGCGAAAAACACCTGAAGCGTAGTCTCTCAATCAGCCGCGCGTTCAAGGCCACAGTAGCCAAACTGACCCCGGAAGTACATAAACGCGCATTAAAAAAAAAAAAAGCGTTATCTGCGAGGGAACGTTGTTTTTTTTTTTTTTTCCTGCATGTCACCTTATAGGGGCTCCGTTTGAAAAGAGAACACTATGAGCATATGGTTACAGGTGGGACAGCAACACTTTAGTTTTAGAGGTCACGCACATTTTTATCAATACAACTGTTGAAGCAGCGATAGCTTGTGTGATCCAACGACAGATTTGGAACCAACATGTTGAAGTGACAAATGGGGGACTTGCCGCAGAGTCTCTGTTCAAATAGTCATGCATGGAGCTGTATAACTTGCGAGGTGCCTTTGAGATTAGTCAAAGCCAGATCTCCTCACTGCTTGTGCTATTCACCTTGTAGATGTAGCCCACCATTGGATATCTGGCAAAGCCTGAGAGTGGCAGTGGAAAAAGACTGGACAGTTATAGAAATGACCACATAACTACACACATGTGCAGTCATGCTCTAGAAGCGTCACCTGACCTCTGGCAGCATAGGCTAAAGACAGATCTTCATCCTCCTCATCTGTCTTCTTCTCTCCCCCAGTGACATGCTGGGTGTTCTCTCGCGCTGTGTCAAGCCATGTACAAGCATTGCAGCAAAAGATGAAATGTAAAAAGAGTGTTAGAGATATGCAGGGTTTGATGGAAAATCCTAAATGGGAATACAGTGGTACCTCTCCTGACGAATGTCTCTTCATATGAAATTTTCAAGTTACGAAATGCCTCAACAGGAAAATATTGTCTCTAGTTACGAAAGAAATTTCAAAATACGAAAGGTAAAAATACAGTAAGGGTTGAAACTCTCAGCTCCGAGGTTCCTGAACGCAGCATACTTATAGTTGCTCTGCCATTGGCTAATACCGAGCATCATCCTGTCATCCCATTGGCTAGAGATACCTCTACCGTCTATCCACAGAAAACAGAGGAAGAGATTGCAAAATGTTGGTTCCCTTTTAATTAGTTTGATAATATTCATAATAGATGATATATCTCATTTAAAACGTTCTATTTTTGGTACAGAATCATCTGTCACCTGAGTTCAAGTCTTACCTTTTTTCAAAGCGCTGAGGTCATTGAGCTGCATATTAGAAGGAAGAGACATGTTCTCTCTGGGGATGTAAGTTCTCTCTGCTTTCAGGTTGGTTGAGTCACTGTGCAGAAAATACACCAAGTGTAAACACCAGGAGCCCAATTTTGGTAGACTGCCACCAGTGCGCTTGTCGCACAAACGGGTCGAACTTAATTCTGATGCCGGTGCAGGACTCGTCTAGCATGTTTGGGGCAGTGTTGCACCTCCCTGGGCATTCCGGCGCACAAAGTTGGCTCACCCCCGACTCGTCTGTCAATTTGTAACGGAAAACAGTCTGCACAAATCTGCCATTTATTTTGTTGTTGATTGTTGTTTTGTTTTGTGTTTTTTGAAAGAAAAAAAGGAGCTTCTTTGACCACACTACAAAAGTTAGAGGTATTGTCTGAGTTACCTTTTCTTAGTCATTAAAATCTCCACCGTCTCATCTGTAACACAAAATAAAGTGTATGACACTGCTCAAGCATTATTCCGGAGCCACAAGGGACTCGTGTCTTACCAATGGACTTGCTTGTTGGTTTTTGCATGAGGCAGAGGACTATCAGACTGAGAATGAGAAGGGCCATGAAGGCCATGGAGCCTCCGGTCACGATTCCCAGCATCGGCACTTCCACACGAGATTGCAGGAACTCTAGAGAACAGACAGATAGAGGATTTCCAAAAGCTGTTGATGGTAATGAATTAATCTTGTTCCCCTCCCCCGACAATGACCTGCCAGCGTGATGTTACTTTGCGCTGTGCCCACACTGTTGCTGGCGTTCAGCGAGATATTTCCTGAGAGGCTACTGAGAGTGACTCTCATTGTGTGATTGGTCAACCAGGGGTAGCTGTGCGAGTCGAGGATGAAGATGTCCGAAGTGTTAGCCACCAGTAGGCCAGACTGGTCGGCCAAGGTGAAGGTGGCAGGCGGGTTGGACTGAACCAGTGCAAAGAGGACTAACAAAAGGCCGGGGTCTGAGGTTTCACTGGAGTGTGCGCTGACCCTGACGATCTCAGGCTGAACTAGAAGATGGAGGAGAGGAAAGAGCCGCAGATAGGAACAAAAAAAAAACTGAGTGGATTGTGGTCCCCCGCAGAGGCTTGGCTACAATACCAGATTCTTCACTCAGCCATAGTCACTAACTGTAACACTGTGCATAAGACAAATGGACCTCAAGTACGCAGACTCGCCCCAAGTATGCATTGTAGGTCGATTGAAGACTTTAAATTATCAACTGGTAAATATGAGTGTGAATAGTTGTTTAGATGTGCCCTGATAGGCTCAAGTTCACCCCAACTAAGCCCGTTATCTCACTGAGCGGCAAATGTGGGCGAGTGTTTCACATATAAGTCCGTGCAAGAAACACGACCATGTTCAAAATTTATTTGCGACAAGAAGAAAAAAAAAAACTTTTGCAACTGTTTGCAACTTTTAAGGAACCCTGATGAAAACCAACAATCGCTACGCGCGCAAACACTTGCGGCTCATTGAGATATGAACTTATATGGACAAGTGGTCTAGAAAATGAATGTTTGCAAATGTTAATGAAGTGGGTGAAGATCTCAAATTTTGGAACTGATGAACTAAAAAAAAAATACTGGAATCCTGCAATAAAATGTTATGATTTCCAATGAAACACGCCTGCAAAATATTTTACAATAGCGGTACAATTGTCGTCTTTTTTTTTTTTTTTTTTTTGCAGGTAGCAAACTAGCTTGGTGCTTAGCAGAGGTAAAACAGTCACTGTAAAAGAAGAAGAAATACTATCGATAAACGATTCACTGCCACTCACATTGGACATTGAGTGTGACTGTGGCATTGTGGCTCTCGCCTGATTTGGGGTTGAGTGCCACACACATCAGCTCTCTGTCCCACTTTCTGGCCCGCAGGGAGAATGTGCTGTTCGCTCTCAGTCTCGTGACCTCAGAGTCTTTATGGGGTGTCATCCCCCGACTTCCTTTGGGTGATCGCGGCCTCTGTTGCTCACCGTTCAGGTACCAGGTTAGCAAAGTGGGTGCACGGGTGTGCCAGCCGTCGGAATGACAGTTGAACCTGTGTATCATGTTTTCTCTTAATGTCATCACCGTTTGACGATGTCCGTCAATTTTGGGGGCAGGTTCAACAGCACCTGGAGGTAAAGAAACTCACTTGGGGTTTTTTTTTTCTCCCCTGTGTTTTTATCTCAAATAAGAGTAAAATATATGCCAAGCAAATGATGGCTTAACATTTTTACCGATTTATATTCTGAAGTTGATCATGTATGCAATTTCTGAGTGTTACTTTAAGGTTACATACCAGCTCTGGAAAAAAAAATCTGGGAACTGGTATACTATAAACAGCCCAAGAATTTAGAAAGCCTTAAAAAAAAAAAAAAAAAAAAAAAAAGGAATTTCTCCATTATGAGACCAATAAAAGTTTTCTTATCTTATATGTCAAATCTTGTTTTATGAGATCAAAGAGGAGCATGTATCTCTACAAAACTCCATTTGACATTTTATGACAGCAGTCAACAGCATACATCACCTGCCCAGGATAAGGCCAGCGTGTGAAGAAACACTACGGCCCGCGTGCCTGATGACCACCTTCTCTTGTACACGCTATCCATCCTACAAAAACATACACACGTCTACCTGTAGGGAGAAATTGAGTTTGTTAATCATTACAGGCTACCACGGTGTTCCCCCGCTTTTATTGAGCCAAGCATTGGATGAGCAGCATTTGTCCATATCGAGCTATATCATAACATTTGAGATATTTTCGTGAAAAGGTGCGTTGAATGGCCGGCTGCACATTAGTTTGAATTAGCAGCAAGTTACCAACCCTCTGTGTTATCTATCGTTAAATATATTTCAAAAAAGGACTGATGTCTTCAATAAATGATAAAAAGCTTGACGATTTGAACATGCTCAATGTAAGCACAAAAACAGGTACAAATGTATTCTTTGTATAAGGTACGAGACGAGTGAGACAGTATCAAATGCTTTGAAGACGCAGTTGCTTTGTTCAAGGATTGCTTCTTCATCCCTGATATCCCCATTATTTTTTTTTTGCCTGATACAAATTCTTAATTATCGCTTTTTAAAGGAGGCAGAAGCTTTAAATCCGACGCCTAAATTGACATATCCAGAAAATATATATTAGAAATGATTACCCCCCAAACCCCCAAAAAAAAGCAGAGCAAACAAAAGTGTTGGAGTTAACACATGATGATGATGTTGAAACGTTATTCTTAAAATAAACACAAGGGACATGGTGAATAACTTTAATTATTTGCTTTCCACTATGGTTATTTAATAGACTTTTTTTGGTCCTGGTATTTTATGACTCCGTTTTTTTTTTCCTTTCTGAAAAGTACAATAAGTATCCGAGTCAAGTTCATTCGGTACTCGCTGATTAACATGAACACAAACAGGGAACGCAGATTTTGGGTGAGTCTGAGCTCTCGTTACTCTACCTATGATGGAGTGGTTAGTTTCAAGCTTTTGTAATATGAGAAGCACCAAAGGGCAATATTTTGAAACAGTCACTCATACCACAGAAAAAAAAATCCATTATTATTTCTGACGTGATTGTGTACAATGTAAATACAAAGACTCTTCCTGCTATTTGGTTCACATTTAATCATTATAAACCTTTGTGACGCACACCACATAAACATGCTGATGAAATTGTTTGCGCCCCCCTTGGGCCTCTAGCAGTCAATGCTTGCTTTACATGCACAATCCAGAATGCCAGTACAAATTGCTGCAAAGGCCCCCACACACATAAACAAGTCTGCATGCATGTATAGTACACGTGATTGTGCTTCATACATTTCAACCCAAATCCTCAAACACGGTGTTACCTCAGAGCTTTCCGCAGACTCTGCTGCGATTCCGCCTGCCGGAGCTCCATGGCTGCAGAGGAGCGAAGGATGGCGATGATGAGAGGAAGGCAGCCATTCTGACTCAGTCACCCTCCCATCTGTGTCTACTCGTAGTCTCACACACACACACGCACGCACGCACACACGCACGCGCACAGACACACACACGTTTCTCTGCAGGATATGGCACCTCCAGTAGTTGCATTGACTAATTGGTCAAGGTAGCTGGCTCAGGGAGTCACGCTGCCGCCACTTAGAGGAGGCGAGAGTGGGAGGGAGACAGAAGGGATTCAAGCAGCTGAGAGGATGAGAGAATGAAGGGGAAGAGGAGGAATGAATGCTCAAGAGCAGGTCTTGCTCTGGGATTCGGGAGAAAAGGACAGAGGCGGAACTGTGGCGGTGGTGGTGTGGGAGGGGAATATAACCCTTATTTTTGTAATCGTAATCTTATTAGTGAACATCAGTATTCTTGTTACAGCTCAGCACTAATACACGCTCCTCACTTGTTCGGTGCTCCATTAGTTCAGGCTGGAATGTCTCTGCAGTGCAGCTGAGTTGACATAAGCAGCAGCATGCAGAGCACTGCAGGCTGAATAGTTTATGCCAGAAGAGTTGCAGGCGGTTCACTCCTTAGTTTGTCTTTGGGTTTAATCTGTTGTCTGAGGACCATTTTGTGATCACAATTTTGATATTTCGGAAACAGAAGATTAACCACTTAGGGCACATCATATTTCCCAATGCACAAAATCACTGCATCAGTCAACATATGTGAAAAAAATTCTGATTGCTCAGAATAATGCAGCAAGCATTTTGTTTACTTTGTTGTCAACATACAACAAATCTTGATACAACGAACGCGTGAGTGTCTAGGGTTGGTTGAAGGTAGAGATCAAAATTTCTGCCTCATTGCTTCATTTCATGAGGATGATTAAATTTCACAGGGTACCATACAAACACCTTTCACTTCTGATGTTCTAAATTCCGAATCCAGGCACAAGAGGTTATAATAACAATAATAATTTGCAAAACAGTAAAATATTTTGTAATATTTATGAATGGTTAGGTAATTCAGCAAGAGTGGGGCAACTTTTTTTCGCATGGTAAAATCCGCATTGCGCAAGCTTTTATTGGTCAAACTTAAAAAGAAAACATCTCAAAAATCCAGCTGAAAAGTGCCTTCAACTGGGAGGTGAAAGTGAATGGGGAAAGTAGTACATTTGCAATTGAAATGTTTTACGTCACTTATCTGCTTCATTCATGAGAATAGCACAGGATGAAGAAAAGGCCGCACAGACGCACACATTCATGCCATTTTTAAAGTATTTATTTATATATATTTTTTTTTATCTTAGTTTGGTTGATCCTCTTTTTAAACATTGTTGCACTTTAGTATTTTTGTACTCAACATAAATGAAATCGTATAAACAAAGGCAAAAATGCAAACAAAACGCAGAAAAAAAAATAAGAGCAGAGCCGACTTGCAGAGAAGGAAAAGGCTGAGATGAGTACACATACACTAGAGGGCGGCATCTAGGAGGCAAAAAATAAAATAAATGAGGAGAGTCAGTCATATTTGTGAAGCAGCTCTCCCCCATTCCGCCTGAGTCATGTGTAGTGCTTCCGATTCAGTCGCACTGAGTCTTCCTGTGGGTCCCCAGCCCCAATTTCACGTGTGACTTGCGCGTCTTTTTTATCCCACTCGTCACCTCCTCAGTGCTCTTACTATGGGGTCAAAGTGTTGGCGTGGTGCAAAAGGCCAGCAGCACAGCTCTCGCAGAGGAATCAAGGCGAGTTGGGGGAAGTGAAACTTTTGGAAATGTTCATAAGGATCTTCGTGGGAAGTTTCAAGAGTGCAAATGGCACGAGCGCAGCTTGACCAACCAACGACTGCTGAGTTTTGAAAGACAACCGAGCAGTCTGGTATAGTGCATCAGGGCCGGTACAAACATTTACAAGTAGATCTTTTCGCTGCACCACTTTTCAGTTTGCATTTCACAAGGGAAAATATGACATTCAAACAGGAACATAGGTGAGTTGAGAATTTTTTTTTTTTAAATAAAATGTTCTGCTGTAGTCCCGGGGTATTTAATTTCCATCTGGCGGAGTTTTAAACCTGCCAGCAGTTAACAGCACTGCTGGGGGCTCATATCACCATGCCTAAAATCGTGCTGTTACACGCCCGTTTTAGAATTCGCTTTCACAGACAACTTCCTATGTTTCCTTTTGATCGTTTGGAGAAGAGTCCGTCGTCCAGGTGTATAAACAATTCCAAACCAGGGGGAGAGTCATATTCAAACGGAGTCATCTATCCAAGCGGAAGGTATAATATAATAAAGGGACGACTGGGGGTCCACAGCAGATCAGGGTGGAAAGAGAAGAAAAAACAGGGTTGTTGTCAGTCTTCATACTTCGGTTTTGAATAATATGTCAAATTACTCCCTTTAGGTTTCCTTTTGGTTCGCGCGCCCCCCTCCCGGAATCAAGTCTGGAGCACTCAAACCCAGACATAGCCTCTAACCTGAACCTGTATGACCTGCCACAACTCTCTCAAAGAAAAACCGACGCAACAGCACTAAGAATGACATCAACAGAAGAAATATTTAAAAAGCAACAAAAATTATTAATCTCCTCTTATTCAAGTGTCTCGATATATTAACACAAATACAAACAATCATTTTAAGACATAGAAAGAGCCCTGTCTCTCTTCTCTGTCCGCTTTTGGCAGGAAATGTCAAGATTTATAAAGCAAAAACGTAAACATTTTGAAAACATTGAACAATAAAAATGAAATTTAAAAAAAAAAATTAAATAAAAGCCTCCCCAACATCTAAAAACAGAGAAACAAATAGCAGAAATTGCAAAAGTGTTCTATACATGGCATTGCTGTACAAGGAGCAAAAATCTGGTAAAACTACACACAATGCAAATACACTGTCACAGACATGAGGAAGGTAACAACAGGTGGGGGTGGAGATGGGGGAGTCCAAAAAGTAACATGAGATCATGAAAGGGAGGAAGAAGGAAAACATTGTGTGACCCCAAAGTGCAGAATTCATTTTTTTTCTCTTAATTGTTGTCATCATTGACACAAAAATCAATTTTTCTATAATAATGTCATCTTAATAAACATTATACTGGAAACTGTGATAACAACAGGAACTATATTGACCATTATGTCTAACATGGACATTACCATTTGACAATAAACTATATTTAAGAAAAAAAGGGGGGTGTGGGGGGATAGGGGAGACATTTGCCAGTGGGAAGAACATAAAAAAAAAAAAAATGGTCTGTCCTCTGTGTAAATGACACTGAGCTCGGTCTTTGGGGGGGAGCATTGGAGGACTCCAAACACCATTCTTGTCCCGTCTGACAAGCTCTGCAGTTTTCAAGCGCGAGGGGTACAGGGAGAGGAGCGGTGTGCAGCTTCAAGAGTCCTTTCTTCTCCACGCCTCTCCTTGAGCAAGTGTGCGCACGAATAATCAGACACACGCACGCACATGCACGCACGCACATGCACGCACGCAATGTGAATACTTTGGATCTGTTGCAGCAGTGTGTGTGTCCATTTCTTTGTGTTGTTGGAAGTCAAACCGGCTACGGCAGCCACTGAGGCACAAAACGCTGTGTGCATGAAAAGGTGCTCGGAGATTGCCGTGGAGTTGGTCGTTGTCAAAGAAGAATCCACTGGTAACAAGTGATTTTTGTGCAGGAGGATGGTGGCACTTCGACCTTTTGAACGCTGATAGCTCCAACTGTCATGTGAGGTCAACAACCCCGCCCCCACAGACAGACGTGAGGGATGGATAAATGGGTGATGGCGGTTTGGCATGATACAGCTCAACTCAAGTTAACACAAGTCAGGATGCTTGACATAGACCACTGTACATGGGATACAACACATCCTGTCGAGAAGAAAACAGGAAAAAAAGCAAATAATTCATTTGCAGCCATAAATTATTGCAGTTTGCGAGGTGGTATTTTACACCGAGAAGATTTCATTTCTTTTCTTAACGTTTAACTGTGTATCTTTTCTGAACCGTACGTTTGAAATGAACAATGGAATTGCATTTCCAAAATGATGTCCTGGCGCATAACGGAAACATTTCGCACCAGCCACTGGATTGTACTCAGCCCGAGGAAAGGCTTACGTACCACTGCTAGACTCCAGCCTGCTCCATGCTGTATTGCAGGTCAGGGGGCTTATAGCTGAGAAGCATATCTGTGGTGCAGGAAGAGGGATAGCAGGTCGCCGCGTGGAGCTCCCCTTCAACGTCACACACTGCTTGAAATAAACATTTTATTGCCGATATGGATTTAAAAAAAAAAAAAGTCGATCATGTTTTAGATCTTTGCATTTTTTTCTGCTGACCTGACTCTTCCCGCTGGTGCAGCTGCTGGCTTTCTGAGAGTGACGTCTGGCTGAGAATGTCTGACATGCGAGCAGAACTTAGCGCCTTCCCAGCCAAAAGGCTCATCCCAGACATGGGCTCAGCCTGGTCCTGGACAGAGGTTGACATTCATAAAACTGTCTTTGAAATGCAATGATATTGAACTTGAATCCTGAGAAGTTTTTGGAGGTCATGGGAAGCTTTTCCGCAGGATGTTTTTCTCTGCCGTATGGCAGTGTATAGTCACTCACATATGCATCATCGCAGGTCTGGATGGTGTGGTGACGCTGAAGCTGTCCTCGGGATCTGTAAGCTTCTCCCTGCTGACCTCGTGAATAACCCACGCCGTTGTGATCGGGCACCTCCATAGCTTGCCCTGTCTGTCTGCACTCTATATGTTCAGAGTCTGATTTAATTTAAAAAAAAAAAAAGACATGTAAACTTATGGTAAACTTCAACATCTATCCCGTTAGTGCTGGGTAAACCAACCTCTAGTTGTTGGAGGACTCAGACTCATATAGCCACGTCTGTGAGTAGGGGAGTAGTAGGGAGGGGTGCTCCCTCTGGGAGGACGCAGGAGGAGCTCATGACCTTCTCCTGCTTTGGCCAGCAGGCCCTCATGCGTGTGGTGGTAGCCAGATGGTACCTCATCTTCCTCCATGCTCTCCGAGTGGGGTAAGCTCGGACAAGGTGCTTGGTCAGGCTGCTGTTGTGGCTGAACGTCCGGTGGTCGGATCTGGAGAAGGTGGTGGTAGTGCTTGCCTGCTGGGGAGCTTTGAGGCGGTTGTGGTTCCAAACTCTCACCCGGGCTCAGCTGGCGGAGAAGTAGCATCTCGCCGTATTCCGGTGTTGTACTACTGGGCGGTGTTGGGGGTGCAGGACATGAGCGAGGGCTCTGCCTCTTCAGCAGTGCTGCCAGGTCCTGTGGCGGTAACCGAGGATCGGCATGTCCTGTCAAAGAGTGGCGGGGGGACAGGAGACCCTGCAGAGTAGGTGTAACATGTTGCTGCGGGGGGCGGTAGTCCACTGGAGTTGGAGAGAGTAACGCTTGCTGTAGTGCTGATGGGGTGCCATAACTCCCGGTCCCCAAAGCGCCACTCTGGTAACCCTCCAGTCCGGGTACGTTGAGAGAGGCCCCCTGCAGGTAAGGGCCATAGGAGCCCAGCACTCCAGGGGCACCCCGAGTGGCTGCTTCACCAGAAAAAAGGTGGGAAGTGAGCTGGGTCTGGTCATAGGCTGATGTGAAACGGCCAAGGCTACGACTGGAAAGAACACAAGAAAATGGGATATTTAGTAAGTAGACATGATATCAGTCCTCTTGACATTAAAATGTGACTGGTTGAAGAAGGTGGAGAAGGTCACTACATTCACTCAACATGGAAAGGTCTCAAAATACGTCAGGTCCTTGCCCACACTCAAAAGTCTTCGCTGAGAGATTAATGGGTCTTTGTGGAGGATTTCTGGGTAAGCATTTGAGCAAGAGTGGTTCTCTCAGAGAAGGAAGAACAGGGGTGTGATTGCTGAAACACGATACAAATCTCCTACTGAATCTATGGACACTTCTAAATGTGCTGCCCCAGCACATACTCGACACGCACTCACCAAATACTGTAAATGGAGGTGGCACAAGAGCTGTTGTTGTCATCTGATCAACGTCAATTTGGGTTTTCCACTGACTGTTGTGTCAGTGTTGGTAACTAATGTCCTTGACACCTGTACTTAAATGTAAAACGTTTACCCTAAGTGACATTTGTTATGGTGTGTTTCGGATTAAATTAAAGGAAACAGTTCAAGCATATAAAAAACAAAGGTCCTGCAAAATGAAATGGACTAGAGTCCATTCAGGGGCCCGAGGTTAGGATATGTTGTGAATTAGAACACCCAAGGTCCGTTGGCATTGTAGGCTTTTGACAATCACTGCACAAGAAGATTGATGTCACCTGTGCGACTCTGCGTTGTCTGCACTCAGCTGCTTCCCGAGAACTCTGTGTCCACAGGGTGTCGACAAAAAGCTACCCTGCCTCTGTGGCCCAACTCCCAATTCCACTTCCTGTACCTGAATAGTCACCTGAATAAATCAGACATTGGTTACTTTACAATATCAATACACATGATCAATAAAGTATTTCAGTCAAAAAACGGGGCAAAAGCAAAAAGAAGCACCATAAAACGTGGTCAAGCGAGCACACGATACGTAAGCCATAGCCACTAAATTTGAAGCTGTAAATAGTGCACATATCGTGTAGTTCTGGTTGTTTCCATAAAGCATAGCAAATACAAATTTGTATGTTACTGTTGTGTTTAGGCTGAAGTGACAGTTGTTTTGACGAGAAAGTACACTCAAGCAGAGCCGATTTCAATGCCAATAAGAAGGCTTCAATGTGTGGATTTAATTTAAAATGTTAACGAACAACCAAAAAAGTGTTACACATGAACGTGAAACTTTTGGGATCGGGAAAAATCAGGTGGAGTTTGCTGCAAGAGTAAAACGCATGTGCGTGTGTGTGTGTGTTACGGTCCAAATGTGACAGTAATGTATCCATGTCAAACTACAAAAAAAAAAAAAAAAAAAACCTCACTTGCTGCTGTTGAGGTACACCCTGAGCCAATGGGACAGAAGGGTGTACAGATGACTGCTGACTGGCTGGTATAGCAACTCTTGGAAGGCCTGTGGGAGGTGGGCTACCACTCTGGCCCTGGTACAGTGAAGGAGACCCATGCTGATACGGCACTGAGGATGGACCTGGGGATGACAAAGACAAATTCACATCATAAAAATCAGCTCTGTTCATACACTGTAGCTTCTGAGTGAACCACAGGGCTGTTCTACAGAAGGACAATGCTCTCGGTCTTCAGGAGGGATTCAAGTATGTCGTGAAGGCCAGAATTGTAGAGTTCAAGTCAGTCACTATCATTGACTTTGCAGCATTAGTGGCTGAGAGTTTTTAGATAGCAGTGTTCATTGAGGAGGGATTTATCCATCCATCCATTTTCTAATCCGCTTACCCTCACAAAGGTTGGAGGAGAGCTGGAGCCTTTGCCAGCTGTATTCGGGCAGTGGGTGGGGTACACCCTGAACTGGTTGCCAAGCTACCGCTGGGCACACATAGACGAACAATCATTAACACTCCTAATCACGCCTAGGGACAATCTAAAGTGTCCAATTAACCTGCCACGCATGTTTTTTGGAATGTGGGAGGAAACCGGAGAAAAACCAGGCTAGCACGGGAAGAACAATATTCAGGTGCGTGTTATATTTGAGAAATTACGGTACGAACCGTGCCCTTGCATCATGCCTGCGGAGCCGGGAGGAGAACTCTGATTTGGCTGTCTGAAGAGGTGGTTGCTCGGATGTGTTGGCGGTGGACTGGATGGCTGAATACGCAACCTGAGGGAGGACAACAGAGAGGCTATGGCGAGAATATCGCTACAACACTTGTATAACACTTCTATCGAGAGCTCTGCACCAATCGTATCAAGTTCATTCTTCGCTGGCTGCAAAGTAGGGCTACAATACACTTGTCTAACTACTTTACCTCTGGAGCTGGTGGGTTAGGTGACTGGGATGACTTTCTCCATGGCTTAAAGAAAGACCCTGTAGAGAATAATTTTGCAATATTTGATTTTGTGATCGAAGAGAGAGTAAGTTGCCCATTAATGAGTGGGCAAAAAATCTAGTTTAATGCACTTTTTTTTTTTTAATGTTTTTGTTTGCAAAGGAATTCAGAGACTTGCACCTCTGCGGTGTAGAATTCAGACATTCTTCTCGACAAAGACGTGACTCTGCATCAGGATGTGACTGTAGTGCATACCTGGATTTGCTGGTGGAGGATTTGTTGCTCTTGCTGGTAAAGGATATGCTGTTGTTGGGTGTGTTCCAGGAATCGCTCATCCTGCTGGGCCGCACACATTTTCTGGAGCTGTTCGCACTCCTGTAAAAGGATCAAACAATTAGGAATTGAGACTGAACACAATTCAGGCACTTTCTTTCAATTTAATGAGGAATGCTTATGTAGAAGGCAAGGCAAAGCAGCTTTATTTACAGTATATAGCAGATCTCATACACAAGGCATCTCAATGTGCTTCACACAAGCAAAGACACAACACCGCATTTAAAAGCAAACAATCTGCACGCAATTGTACTATGAAGGATCATTAGTATGGATATAACGTCTAAATCCATGATTCCGTTTCCAAAATTATGCATTCTATTGCTTGAGGTATCGGTACTTTGTACACATTTTGACCCAAAGATTGGGAAAATGCTGGACACGTAGGGCTGTAAAATAAAAGACCAAGCGTAACCTCTGTCAGGCAGGTCAGGCAATGAGGAGTTATTTTAATTAATTCCCCCCACAATAAAGCTAGTAAGTACCTGCTTGAGTTGCTTAATGAGGCTGTTCTCTAGATGTGTTTTGAAGGCTTGAATGGTGGCAGCGCCGTCAGAGAACCTTCTGACAGGTGAGAAGCGTTCCATAGGAAGATGAAGTGTGTTACAGTCTTTATAGCTTGATCTGAGGAGCAAAACAAATCGTACAAGCACACAAAGGACACACACGCACACACACACATGAAGAAACCAGCCACACAGGTATGACATGACATAACATAAATGACGCAAACATTTTCAGTCACAGACAAGGACATGGTACACAAACAAACAAATAAAAATGATTAGGTATCATTCACAAAACGTTTTGAGCCAGGTTCGTAGAACAGTCATATTTTGAAAGTTCAGGAAATTCAATGCCCTCCAAAGTTTTTGAAAAAAGCCAATCATTCCTTTATTTTTTGTTGTATACTGAAGAAATTTGAGTTTCAGGTCAATGAAATACACACACAAAAACATTACCTTACCAGTCCAGTGCTTTTGGAGTGGACTGTAGAAATGTGTGTGTGTGCGCGCGTGTTCGCACTACCAATCTGACTGGCACTCAATGGCTAATACTGTATTTGTGGGAGTATTTTGTACTCTGCCATGTTAGTATTGCTTCTGCTGAAAGGAAACCGTTGTGGTGTCATAAAGCAGGGATATCATTGCTGGGTTGACAATATTTACATCAGCTTGTTGATGCCCACAAAAAGCCACCTGCATCAGTTGTCGCTCAAAACATCAACTTTTGACAAACAAGATCAAGAAAACAGTCGAATGTGTCCGTTGTAAATCAACCAGGCCAAAACACCCCAAATGACGTCATGAACTGAAGACAAAAAAGTATTTACAATCTAAAACAAAGGTTTCTGTTGCATCGAACTGCACTGTCGCTGTGGCAATCGTTCACTTCGCATCAAACACCACTACAAAAAAAAAAAAAAAAGCATTTTTCCTTTCGACACAAACATTGCGGTCAGCTTCGGCAATGCGTGTGATCAGTGATGAATAAGCTGTTCTCAACTATGAGATGACAAGAGTCTGCAAGTTTAAATCGGTTCAGTTTGTGCATAATACAGCACAGAGTCGGCTCATCCCCTCACCGGGTGTGTGTGTCAGGGGCCCAGCCCACCCTCTGGCGGGGGCCCTGTGACCGTTGGGGCTCTGCCGAGGGATCGCCATGCGATGTGCTCATGAGCGCGTGCGTCGTGTGCCGCTTGCAGCGGTTCGCCAGGTACCTGGGCCGCAAGGAGGGGGAGGATGGGGTGAGGGTGGGAGACATGAAGCAGTGCTGGTCAGCTCACTGCCCTTCTTGACTACTGGAGACAGAGGGGAAGGCCAACCCATTCCCATCACTGCCAAAAGGGGGTAAAAAAAATAAACATCTTGCCTAAAAGTAAAATATGAATCCACAAAATAATTTTAGAGCTTATGAATACTAGACCAGAGAAATAAATGGTTTTCACTTTACAAGCTTTGCAAGCTGAGCGTTAGCAAAGCTGGAAGAGAAAGGGTGGAAACAAGTGTAAATTTGCCTTTACGGACATGAGAATCAGAAAGTGGCAGATTCATAGTTTGCCTGGAATTGTAGGCTGATTGAGTTGAGAGCCAGAGAGGAAGGCACTTGCACGACGGTAAAAGTAGCAGAGGTAAGGGGAGCACCACAAGCAGAGTGGCCAGCACCCGTGGGGAAAAAGCAGGGCAACCTAGAGGCACACACACTCCCGGCAACCAAGGCCACCAGCAAAAGATACAATCGCTGCTGTACAAAGAGGACGAGTTAAGAAGCCACGTTTACGACACTAACAATCCCTGTAACAGTCAGCGACTGTTAAGGTAACGTGCCACTCACACTATCCAGTTTTGACAGCACCTCTCTGTACAACATATCTCACAACCAAAAGCTGTTATGGTAAGTTACCTTTGTACGGCTTCTTGATCCGGCTCTCCATCTGATCCCTCTTCATCCACCGGAGCAACAGCAGGAATAGGGTGCTGAATAAGGCAGAGAGTTTCCTGGTCAACAATAATGTCCATTCATTTTACATATCAAGTAAACTAATTAGAAATATAATAATAATAATAATGACAATAATAATCATCAATGGTCTGGCTACTCACTGGACTGGTAACAAGAGGTGATGGGCCCCGGGGCCTTTTTAGGAGCTGAGCATGTAGTTGGATATTGGCACCACCATCGGAAGCTCTTCGACCCAGGGGCCCCATGCCATTGAGTAACTGCAGAGTGGGTGGTTGCAGCAGTGACTGCTCCTGAAGTTCAAACATGCAGAGAAAATCAATAAAGCCTGGAGTTCATCTTGGCCCTCATACTACGTGGCATTGCTAGTCCCTGCAAGTTATCTGATGATTTAAGGGGACATCGATGCCACATTTAAATGACGAAACCTTGTACTCCAGGTGCTGCGTTGGCTGTAGGCTCTGCGTTGGCATGAGAGTGTGCATTTGCCCCAATGTAGGCGTGAGTGGAGGAAACGGGGGCTGGGGCATTGCTCCCCGCGGGAAACCTGGTGGCAGTTTCTGGAGGGCCTCTTGCATCTCAGTCCTTTAATCCGAGGAGGAAAAAAAAAAGAGAAAAGAGACGACAGCGTTTTAAATCAATTTCATCATGGAAGATCTGGTTTGGTTTTTTTTTTTGGTTTTGTTTTTTTAAGAAGCCAATACATGGGAAGAAATTAGAGAGGCACAGTGATCCATGGCAAGTTATTCACCCCAACAATGGCCTGTTGGTGATGTTTGTGGCAATAACAAACGGCAGACTGAAAGGATATGACTGCATTACCTTTGGTCTGGTACACCCACAGTGTGCCGCCTCATTGAGAGGTACCTAGCCATGGCTTCAGGAGATGGCTCTTCGCCTTCATCACTGTCGAGTGCCATATTGCCATCCGGCTAAACAAAAACCAAACACATATTTGAGCATTATCCAATGTTCTAACATACGTGTATATTTTACTGCAGTTGTGAATCTACTTGGATATTGATCATTGGCATGACATACAATTACACATTTAGATGGACGAAATGTTCATGAAATGTTGAAATCTGTGAATACAGAACATCCTCAACTCACCTCAACAATCTGGTTCTCTGGGTTGATAAGCTGGACATGAGGAACCGTTATGTTAATTGGATTACCCTGTGCATCCATCTACGCAAGCAAACATGGGAGACAAAAAGGTCAGGGGAGGATTGCACTCATTTGTGAAACAATCCTCTTAGGGGAGTGGGATTGGCACCTTGGCTAAGGTCAGTTACCGCCATTCAGCGTGAGGGCTTTAAAACTTGCCATTTGATACGTAGGTATCATAGGATGCATTGATTAAACGATTAAGTGATGCAAAATCTTAATTTCATTTACACTTCTTACTAATTTTAAAAATTGTCTTTTTATTAACTCAAAAATCACACTTTGAATCAAGATTTACTACAAAAATATGCCTCTAAAGTCCCACAAAAACTTGGTTTAGGTTGAAACGTCACTATTGCAAGAACGCCATCAATGTCATAAAAACAGACTGCGGGTGTGGGCCAAAACCTCCTATGACACAATTTGGTTAATTTCATAATTACTCACGAATCAATATTTGTCTGTCCACATGTGTGGGAGTTATTGTTATTATTGACAAATGTAACGTGTTGAAAATGTCTCTCTTTTGCTCTCGTCAGGCTTGGTCTCAAAGCACTGTTTAATGTTCAATACAACTTGGATTTCTCAGTTTCATGCGGCACAAATGTTATTGAAGTGGAAAACCGGCTATAAACCACAGCAAGTTCAGCAGAACCAAGCCGGAACTTTGTAATTAAAAAAGCAGCAGTACACATTCAACTGTTTCAACATATTAACCGTGATTAACTTATTTACTTATATTTACACTTGTAACGACATTTCATGTTAAAAGGTTTATATAATGGCAACGCTCTGATGGTGTTACATTTTATTTTCATTTCCATTGTTTATTGTGGAAACAGTATTTTGAAATTAGACCAATTGGAAGTCAGACTACCTCACAGAAGAGATTGTGGTCAAATTTGGAGGTTCCGCTACAAAATTAAATCGAAAGCACTTACCTGTACAGCGTTAAGGGGATAGCTAATGGGCCGTGGTGTGGGTGGAGCAACACGCAACGTCTTGTGTTTCTTGAGACGATCAGATAGCAAACTGTAGATGGCACTATAGTGATCATATGCATCTGTGTGCAGGGACTGAAGAAGGAAAAGGAGGGGTATGTTGTTACTTTTACCTGCCTTAAAAATCATTTTGACCACACAAAAAGCTTTTTAATCACATCCCGCCACAACATTAAGACCACTTGTGCAATTTAATCCAATACAAAATCTGTATACAAATTGGGCCTTTACAGACCTTATAATGCTTAGTTAGATTTTGTCTGACCTGAATTGCACGTTCTCGGTCCAGGCCCATCTCAGACATCGCTATTAGAACTTGCTCGTTGATAAGCTCCGTCTCTCTTTCAGTCTTAACGAGCTCACACTCTGCTATCAACTGAACGGGAGATGGAAGGAATGAAACTGGATTAGAAAGTTAACGTCCAAAGAGAAACATTTTTTTGTTGCACCAAGTACCAGTACAATACCAAACCAAGCGCTTCTGGCAAAAATGACTAATACCATCATTTTTAAGTACCAGTGTTTGAGGAGGAAGAAAAATCCAGCGAAGCGGCTCAACTCTGGGTAAAAAGTGCTGCAGCGCTAACTATAGAGCTCACTGATGGCCGAACTGGGACTGACTTCCATTGATATCAAATCTGTGAATTATTTGGCAATAAGTCTTCTTGTTCCCTATCAACTCCCAAGCATTGGCATACAGCGACCCGCTGTGTGATTTGCATGACGTAAACACGATAAAATGAAGAAATTATATTTTATTTGTGGATGTGAAGTAGGTTGTAGATTAGGGCTGTACAATACTGTATATCCAAAAAATATCGTAGTAAAGTACCAAAAACTAAAAGCATCTCATTTGTTTTTTGTTTTTGGCTGCAAGGAACACCTTTCTTATATTGTTATACTGTGCAATCCTAATACCTAATCAGAATAATGCTTAGGACATCATTCTTCCGAGAGTCCAGAGGTGCACAATCGTTGTGAGAGAGCTCACCCTGTCAAAATCAGGATCTGGGTCTCCTTGTCTCATCCACTTGTTCTTACAGATTTGTTCCATTGTCAGCCGTCTGCTGGGCTCCAGAACCAACATATGTCTGATCAAATACTCACAGTCTGTTAAAACACACACACACGAACACGCACACGCACACGCACACACACAATGTAGATTACCATAAGAGCGATAGGAATGGTGCTTGTTTCAATAGTGTCCTAACATACATGTTTATGGTAGATCTGCCCCCCCCCCACCCCCAACTAATTAGGGAAGAAGTAAGACCTACCTGTAGACATGAAGAAGGGGATACGGAACTTGCCACTTAGGACACGTGCTCTCAAATTCTGTAGAGTACTGCCATCAAAGGGTAGGGCACCACACACCAAGACATATAAGACCACACCTAAGCTCTGAACAAACAAAAGAGAAAAGGATTATCGCAATTTCCAAACTACAATGGCTGCTTCACTATTATTAGCCGAGGGCCTCTACGCTACAGGATAGGACATTTGCAAAGAAAGAGGTTACACAGTTGGGGAAAAAAAGAAGTAAATAAGTCTTGATTACTTTAAACACTGCTAAACACTTTTTTCCAAACACAGCTAGTTACTCGGTAGCCTCCGAGAAAATTAATCGCTATCTTCATCTTGCTCCTCCTGCGCACTTAACCCACCAAAGTGCTCTTCTTCAGTGTGGGAAAGAAAAGCCCCAAAACTCGGTGGTACACACGTTCTCAGTCTCTCTTTCATTGTCACTGTCAGCGTCGCTAACGTTACATTTCAACTTCTGTCCTCTTTATTGTGCGGCCATCTGACCAATGTCCTAACATACTATAAATCTGAATGAATACTGTACCAACAAGACAGTTTCAAATCTATTACCAATGTGAGATTTCAAGATCTGACATGACAAAAATTCTCTTGACAGACAGATGTTGGAGGAGTGAAAATGTTATTGTCAACTCACCCATATATCTACTTTCGGCCCATCGTATTCTTTGCCTTCAAATAGTTCTGGTGCAGCATAGGGTGGGCTGCCACACCAGGTCTTCAACAGTTGTCCTCGGGAAAACAGGTTACTGAAACCAAAATCTGACAGGAAATAGAGGGGTGATCAAATTAATTCCCTGGACGCTTCCCTAAGCAGATGCAAAATGCTTCCATCGCATGTTGGCAGTTGCCTACACGTAACTCATGTTGCCTGAAAGCAATGAAGCCAGTCAGACTCCGGAGTGCCAGCTCACGCACCTGCTATTTTGATGTTGAGATTGTGATCCAAAAGTAGGTTCTCTGCCTTCAGGTCTCTGTGAACGATGTTACGGCAGTGACAGAAATGAACTGCTGCAACAATCTGTTTGAACTTCTTCCTGGCGTCCTTTTCTGCCATACGTCCATGGGCCACCAGGTGGTCTGGACATGAAAAGCACAATTGGGTTGGTTGAAAGGTTTCTGTTGGGATTCCTCGACCCCAAAAAAATAAAAAATCTGACAACTATCCCCGATAATTATTGAGAAGCACAAATATTGCTTCGTTTTCGATTTGACCATGTTTAGAAATGTTAAGAAATGTGACATTTCTTTTTGAATTTCAAAAATGAATGAATAAATAAGAACCTGTTCAAAAGTACACAAAAAGTAAGCGCAAATGTCTTCTAAAACATGGTGAGTGGGGGCGACAGCCTTACCAAAAATTTCGCCGCCGCTAGCATATTCGGTTACCAAATAAATCATTCTCTCTGTCTCCATCACCTGAGAACAAGAACGTGTATTACAACCAAACCAGTGGGGCCATCACAAAGTAATGGCTAACTTAACGGAAACTGTAAGCAGAATCTGCCATCTCACCTGGTACAGACGGATGATGTGCGGGTGCTTTAGCAACTTCATGATTTGAACCTCCCTAAATATCTTTTTCAAGTTTTCATCATCCAGCTGGGTCTTGTCCACTATTTTTATAGCCACCTGGTAACAAAGACACAAGATTGGCATACATGAGAAATCAGGGAATGTGACGGTTAATGGAAGAAAGAAAGGAGGAATGGGACACAAAGTCACTACACTTTACACAGATCTCACACGCTGGATCGGCTCGGGCGATATTTTGCATTTTATGACAAATCTGTAGGGTCAAGGGGTTAGCGCGTCGACCTCTCAGGGCAGAGGTCATGGGTTCGATTCCGGTTGCCTTCCTGTGTGGAGTTTGCAAGTTCTCCCCATGCCTGCGTGGGTTTTCTCTGGGTACTCCGGTTTCCTCCCACATTCCCACATGCACGGCAGGCTGAATGAACACTCCAAATTGTCCTTAGGGATGAGTTGTTCGTCTCTGTGTGCCCGCCGATTGGCAGGCAACCGGTTCAGGGTGTCCACCACCTACTACCCTAAGACAGCTGGACTAGGCTCCAGCATGCCCAGCGACCCTTGTGAGGAAAAAGCGGATCAGAAGATGGATGGATCGATGGATGAAAAATCCGTGGTTCGTTGTAAAGTCTTAATTTACTGATGTGTGTCAATATCTCATCTCATATTTTAGATAGATAGATAGATAGATAGATAGATAGATAGATAGATAGATAGATAGATAGATAGATAGATAGATAGGTAGATGCAAATTTTAGGGAAAAAATTATTTTCAATAATCATTCAGTCCTAGTATACACTAAATAGTGCGTGCAACTAGCATGAAATAATTTACCACAAAATCATATTACACTTCCTATTTATTTATCACCCACACACTGCCACGCGACAGCAGCCAGAACAACAAAAAATATAACACACGCTGTGATTTTTTGTTGTTGTTGTTCTTTTGAAACCTTGCAAGGTGAACAAGATCAACCATATTAAGATACTCGTCTCAAGGTCCCGTGAGACAGAAAACTCACTGAAAATGAAACGCTCCAACTTGGCAGACTGTAATTACAGCGGTGCCATCTCTGTCTGCTCTGAACTCCTGCCCTTCAGGCTGCTCTCAATGACCAGTCAAATAAGAGCCTTTGGGATTAGCAAATCACATTTTGTCAAATCGCAATTATATTGTAAATGCAAGTACCGTAAATGTTCATCCCAAGCTGAAAGTTTTAGCAGCTGCACAGCCATTCAGCCGTTTTTTTTCCCCTGAGACAAGTGGCTGTTTTGTAACGGCAAAGCGGCACTTGATGAATGAGTAGCAATCTACGTCACAACCATGCCAAAATCTGATCCGCTCATTTTGCAATCCTTGTGCCTTTCGGCAAATGAGCGACGGTCAAACTTACCCTGAACGGGAACAACGTATCCTCCCATAGACCCCAAACATGACCTTTGACAGTCAGTAAGGTCATTGCATAGCTACCCGGTCCGCAGCAATGGGACCAACAGTGTGTAAGATGACGGGCGTGTGACAGAGCACTTCCCTGCCAATTAGGAATGGCAGAATTCCTTTCATGATTTGATCAAGTGGATCTGATGGGACTGTTTAAAAATGTTACCCTCTACTAAAAATAAATAATTGTCTGTTGAAGTGTGTGTGTGACAAAATTCCATGCATGTCCAACGGGAACAAACACACCACAAAAAGCCTCTGTCAAATTCTGTTGTGTTCCATCCCAACCTCCCGTTTCCTGATAACCGAGGGGCAGCGGCAGCCTGACAAGACAGACTTCCTGTTCCAGACAGAAAGGGGAAGTAAGAGAGTGAACGGGGCGGGGGGAAACTCCTGAGACAGTACAAAGCAACATAAAACAATGACCATTTTTAAAACATTCGTTCGGCAAAATTTGAGTTTTTGTGCACAATGACGTGAATTTCTCTTGTCGTACGCTTTCGAATAACAAAATCTGCTTTCATGAAGGATGACAGAAATCAGAGGATAATTTGTGTTGGGGGCAAAAATCTGAGGATTTGGACATTTTTATGTTCAACAATAGCTCCAAACGATTGCTCAGTTATTTAAAAAGTTGACGATTCATTTGATAACCGATTAGTTGATGATTAATCAATTAATTTTGACCCCTCTTGTTGTAACACAGTGTCAAGTTTGGTTACGCTAATGTATTGTAGCATCTACTATGGATTACAGAGGGATGAGTCAGTGAACTCACATTTATTAACCAAAACCAAGCTACTGAATACTTGGTGACGAAACATCATGAACAGCACACATTTTCCATGATTGGATTGAATTCATTATTCCAGACAAGGTGAATTTGTAATCGCCAAAACGTCAGTTTTTTGCCGGCGCTCCTGACTGACCCAGAATCGGTTGTGACAATTGCTTCACACATAAACACCATATTCCTCCTTTCCCGCTATGCTCACAAATCAGATGTGGCATGCCACTCATGACGGGTGATGCAAACCAATCAGCTCTGAGCTGCTGCTCGTCAACTAGGGGGATGCTCCACACTAAGCGAACTTGCACCACACCGAGGCACATTTACAGTAAGTACACAAGCTACGAGCTGTGCTTGTTCGCTGATGCAGCTAAACACTATCCACAATAATGATAATCAAAGTGGCGTTCTTTAAAGCACCCTTAATGAGAACCCCGAGTGTCATGACATGTTTTTTTTCTATACAATTTATTTGGTTTTTAGTAGGATAACTATGGTATTTCAACTTTTCGAAAATAATTTTCTAATTTAATACATTTTGTATAAACTTTATTTGCATCTACATCGACAGTGTTGTTTATATCGCAACGCACATTGGGTAGTGACGTAACTTGGTTGCGCACTGTTGTTGTCAGCAGTTGCAGCGAGTCGTCAGCGGCGTTGATCTCCTCTGGTTAGCCTTTTCAATTCGAACCAGCGCGCTGGCAAAGACATGAGGAAGCCCGTGATGAAAATGTCAAAATGCTCGGGTTAGCTTAACTTCTTCTGGATAATGTACATTTAAATAAACAGGTCTATCAGGAAAAACTAAATACTTATTCTGTTGTGTGTCTTACGCTAATTATTATTTTTAAATTTTATTTATTTATTTTTTTGTAATGGCAATATCCTAATTACTCGAGGATTCATTTCAGGCCTAGATTTACCTGTTAAGTGTCTTGTTTGGTCTGCTAACATATTGTAGTGGATTACGGAAGTGTGGTGAGTCGATTAGCAAAATAATCGTTTGTAGCAGCTGTAATGCAGACTGGCGAAAGACCAAAACATGTGATTAGATGTACAGTGCACAAATTGGTATTACAATTAATAAGCGTCTCGAGATAAAATATGAAAACAGCCACATAGAACAAAACCAGAAATTAATCGATTACAGCTGACGTCAACCATGAAGAGGAGCTTATATATTTAGAATATCAGCAATGTTATGCGTTTACTAGCACCATTTTCAACAACTGAGTATTGAATTTTGAAATCACCACAATTCGTGCAGTTCAACACAAATGACTTCTCTATTCCAACTGTTACACATTTTAACATGATATCTAGTCTACAGAAAACATGCAGTACTATCCAACTAGAGATGCTAGGGTAAGTACCTTGTAACCAGCGATGGCAGAAAGAAAAAAAAAAGTTAGCCTGCATCTGAGCAATGCCGTGAATTGCTGTCTTTGACACAGAGCACTACGGTTCTAATCCCAGTCACAACACTTACATCTCAGAGCAAGGTTGTCAAACTCATTTTTGTCGCAGGCCACATTGTAGTTCCGGTTTCCCTTGGAGGGCCGTTATGAATTTTGGGAAACCATATAAATCTTTAATCACCTCCACATGTTACATACACAGCGCACAACTTGAGCATCGAATTTGACGTGCTTGATTTGTTTTCGCGGGCCACATAAAATGATGTGGCGGGCCAGATCGGGCACCCGGGCCTTGACGTAGACCCCTGTGTCCTAGAACGTGTATTAGACCCTAATTCCAAACCACTGCCAGTGTTAAAATGAGTGGATTCATCAGGGAGGGCATTCTGGGTCAAAACAACGCCAAATGTGGCATTACAGTGGCGAAATTACGACTAAATGTGCTCCTGTAAAATAACTCAGTGACTGCAGTGTCAACTTTCCACCCAAAAAAGGATGCTAATATACTGTGACAAAGGTCATGTTTGAATGCGCAATGGACTCATGTGGCCTATTGATGCCTGTATAAATGGGAGTACAACGGAAACCCAGATATGCCTCAGAGCAATGAATGCATAGATAGATAGATGGATAGATTGAAGGAGGGATAGCACAATTCTGTTTTCGACCCTGATACCAGATTAATACCACCACTCCTACATGACACGGCGCTACGGAAGCTTGCCTTTTCCTCGCAAGCTGCAGATGGAAAACAGATTGACGCATGTCTGCTCGTAGGCATGCATATAAACACAAGCATGATGGTAAACATGACGCAGCACACAAAAGTGTACACATACAAGCTGAGAGCCACTCAGTAGGCTGAATAATTACACTAGAGCGGTTTCAACTGTAGGCGTCCAAGATTTGAGCACAAAAAATATCTCACGTGAGTCACAATTTGTAATTATTACGTTCTGTTGCGCTTGCATCATGAAATCCAACAATGTTGTCAAATATGCTAACCGAAGTAATTACGTTCTCTTTTGTCTTGACAGGCTTTGTGACAATTGTGATCAAGAGGATGAATGAAAAATAAAAACATGGCTTAAAGCACACTAGTACTTCCTAGTACGGCCCGTGGGTTTAACACACAAAAATGTACCTTTGACAACAAGAGTGTAATGGTTACAGAGGTTGTATGAAATAGCGTAGAACAAAATAAGATATTCAACTGTACTATACTCCACAATGACATTTGGAGCGTAATCATGACTTAATCCCAAATTTGTGGCTTGGGCAAACTTAACCAGCTACAGGATGTTTAGGCCGATGATGCCTGAGTGTTGCTACGCGGACTAGGGTGGACTTTGTTGCCTGAAGATGTAGAAAAAAACCTGTGTTACGAAATATGCTTTGTCGTCTGTTTGAACCCTAAGAAACACAATATAACACACAGCGTGTGTGGCATAAAGTAACAAAGTAGAAGAAGGGGGAATTATTTCATCAAAGAGAAAGAGGTCCAGGATTTTTTCACAAACCCTGCAAATTCCCACCATGCAGAACATGCAGCTGTGATTTGCCACATATAAGGGAAGGTTTCCCTGTCTGGCAAAGTTTTCCAAATGTTACCTCGGCACAGGACTGATGTCAACCTTGATCACATTGGCATCAACTTCAAAAATCTCCAGTCGTCTAACTCCTACTTTGTTGATGTGTTGAGCAATGGCTCTGTTATTTAGCTTGTGCACCTGTTGCTCATTAGCACTCTTTTTTCCCTTCATTTTCCATTAAACTGACACTTGGTTTCAATGCCAAACTCACTGCAGATGTAAAGCTGACACAAAATCAATACGATATGCCAGTATTACTACTCCTGGACATTACTATCGCTACTTTTCTCAACGATTCATTTTCATTAAATTAGTTATCAAAAAAGGACTCCAAAATTACAAATTTGTTTTGTGCAATTTCGAGTTTGACAGTGTGTACTTGGCACGACTAAACTGTGTATCAATCAATATTTGAGATTGTAAAAATGGAGACATAAAAAAGGCTGCGTGCTTGTCAAATTTGCTCAGACATTTTCATGGGCGACGGGTTACTTGAACTAACGGAACGTTTATCTCGTTAGAGCTACCAGTAACCAGGACGCTTAAGTAAATAATGTGAAAACCTCGCTGTACATTTGAAGACACACACAGGCAAGCGTTTGATTGCTGGCATCGGACTGGCATTTCTTGAAAATAGCTTCACCCTAACAAACAGCTAATTCGCGGCTAGGCTAACAGCTACAGAGGGAACATTCTGCGTCTTTTCTTAGATCTTCGCCAATACCCTTCTCTCCGTCCTCTGCGCTTTGCAGCAGATTAACCGCGGGCAATGTCGCTTGGAAATTGTGTGGACCCGTCGCTGGTTTGTCTCTCGTCAATGCGCTTAATGTCGAACATTTCCAAGGATGTCCTGCATTGAATGACCTGACGACAAGCAGCGGTGTCACTAAAAAGCGAGCTTGCCGTTGTGTCTGGGGAGCTTGAAGGCCCTAGCTTCGTCTTCAGTGTTCCGCTAAAAAGCCTGGTAAATTCGCGATGACAACTTGCCATTGGTCACCTCAAACAGGGAGCTACTAGTCGCCTTACCTTTGCTTTTGTAATGATGTGGGTGGCCAGTTTAACGACGGCGAAATTTCCCTTGCCGATGGTCCGCTCGATCTCGTAATGGCCCACTCGAGCAGGGGGGGGCCTGACGGTCGAGGTCTGGGCAGGATTGGAAATGCACCCGGTGGTCGCGCCGGGACGACCCTGGTGGCTGATTCCGCAGGATGGCTGGACTCGGTTCTGAGGCCCCATGGCTGTGTGGTTCGGTCGGCCAGAGTGCGCTATACCGGCCGCGGGAGTCCCAGCGGCACCTCCGCTTGACACGGCCGCCATCTTCTCGCCTCTCTGCGGGAACAACAAGCAGCCTTGCGCAGCGCGCGCACGCCCCCGCCCTGCGTCATTTTACGTGGAGCTCTCCTTCGCAGCGCCCTCTCTAGGCTGTTACTATGGAAACCATCAGCGTAACACATGACCTCATCCACAAAAACGTATGGTGGTCGCCAGGGCAACAAAGAACTGCGCATTATCGCTCCGGCTCCAATGATTCAGTCATCCATTGCACAGCGCCGAGAGTAGATGTGTCCTGCAAATGGAATATATTCTTACCTTTAAGTTAGGAGCAACCCCTCCCAATCAATTAGAGTGACATTTAATTGAGATGTGTTCATAATGTTATGTTCAAAGCCAAAGGCTGTGTGTTATGTAAATTTAAAAAATGCATATACAAGACACGTCAAAGTCGTCGTCCTGTTGATTTCGGTTGAGTTATGATTCGATTATATAAAATGTGATATTAATTGACGTCACCTATTTTATTCTCACTACTTTCTTCACAGATTCGCTGTCAACGAAAAAAGTCCATAACCTATTAAAAATATTTATAGATTCAAAGGGTACAAAAATGAAAAACATGTTGTGAACTTAGACAATTGTGTATTCTACTCTTTTGCGCTTGACGGCAAGCTTTAGACAGCATCACCCCGTGGTAAAATAAGTGACGACAGCTTGTCAAGCAAGAACCAAGGCATTAGCGTAACATGCCCGGGCCGCGTCAATAGCATTTTAGGGCAGGGTGTTTCATATTCTGATTGAATGTATTTGCGTTTCAGCCTTGGTCAAGAGCAAAATAATTAAGTACATCGAGTCGTGAATGACAAAGCAGCTGACATTAGCCATGGGATCTGTATGTGCCTTGTCCCAATAGAAGTTGGGTAACACTATTTTGAAGTTAATTTGCACAAACGAAACATCACAAGTAGAACCCACTATATTTGGACAGCGAAAAAGTATATTAAAATTACTACTACTACTACTACTGTTTTGTGTACTGTATTTGTATTTGAGGAAAGTAGCCTCATGCTTACGGTTGCAGAGTACACTGTAGCCTGTCCCCATTCATTCATTCATTCATTAGTTCTCCGAACAGTTTATCCTCACTTTATAACATCACTAGTAATTTACAGTAACTATGTGTATTTTATCTTTTTTTTTCCTGAAATAAACAACGCTACAGTTCTTAACCAAATATGGTGGTGAGTGCTTTCTCGAAAAAAATCTCTACCTGCGTGTAAATTGTAATCCTGCAAAATAATCCCAATTTGTCATATGTGTACCTGTAATCTGATTAGATATTTTTCTGTAACTGTAATGGAGTACAGTCACATTTCTGGTAGAGTCTGAATATGAAACGCTGGTACGTGCCCTAGCCTCGTTACGAGCATGCAAATGTACACTTAGAAGGTACATGAACGTGCGTTTATGGCCACCCCTCAGTGAAATGTTGTGTCACCCTGACCACCCCACTGAAAAAAATCTCGCTCCAAACTGTCCACAATTTTCAAATATAGTGAGATGATCCTGTAAATGATGAATAAATGTAGTAATTATTTTTGGACATCTATAATGTAATGTCGTATTTCCTGTACGTACTGTATGTCATTTTTGTTGCAGAATGGAGTGCTTTGAATGAGAATGAAAATTTTGTGTCCTGGTGAGGGCGCTATTGATGCAAAACATTTATTTTCCTACAAAGAAAAGGCAAGGATGATGTTGTCAAGCAAAATCACCTCGACAGAAACACTCAGGTGAACCAACTGCGACGCCACATACCTTGGACGCACCACTCGGGTTTAAAAAGCTTCGACCTGGCCTACTACTTTACACAAACGTCCTCGCACTCAACTTCGAGATCCAAACATCGAGCTTCTTGCTAGACAGCTAAGCTAAGAGTAGCATAACAATTTAGCCGCATGCCAGGATTCTCCTGTTTTGCTATGTGAGAATACCGCGTTAATGTTGCAGTGCTGCAATCTCAGAACTCGTGACTTCACAGTGGACAGCCTGGAGTGTGTCTCTGTTGTCTTTGGGAGGAGGGACGATTAAAAAGCTGTCGTAAGTGCTCGGATGCTAGCAGTTGTTACTTTGGCTCAACACAGGACTTGACACAGTTTTGACAGTCAACCTGTTTACTTCGAGTCATTTGAATGGGGCGGAGCTGCCCGGTTCATTTTCCCGTCTCATAACTGGACCGGTGGCTGTTCACTGCTTCAAAGACGATGTTGAGAGACGAAATCCTGTTCGGCAGTCACTGGAAATCGCGATATAAAAAGACATTTGGAGTTGCTGCTGGAGTCCTGCTGTGGTTGTGTGTAGCACCATTGGCTTGCGGCAGTGGCGCTCTGGGGGAGAAAAACAATGTGATCCAGAAAGATGGCGAGTTTGACGTGACCTATAACGACACAGTTACGAGTGGAAATCAGACGATCTATGCCTTCAACCACACCGTCTCCAGAACCAAGGTAGGAGAGTGCCGTGCATTTTTTTTTTTTGGTAAAGCTTAGTCCGTATTTACTGTGCTTCATGTCACAGACGGAAGGAGTTCGTGTATCCGTCGACTTACTGTCGCCGAATCTCAAGAGTCCTATCCTGTTTGTGGTGAGACAGAAGCAAGCTGTGCTCTCCTTTCAGGTCCCCCTCATCCTCAGAGGCCTGTGAGTTCTGGACCTCCCGTGCAGGGTCTCCAATTAATCTCTCTTTACAGTCACACAAATGTATTACAAAAGAGAGTAATTAGGCAAATGTGTAAAAAGAAATATTAGCAAACCAGGAGTAGATATTTAAGTTTGTTTGTTTTTTTTTTTGTTAGTTTGTTTTTTTTGTATTTCTTTTAATTAGTCATTCACTCCCCTTATCCAACAATCGTCTTTTCTGTATGTTGTAATAAACCTTTGGACTTTCACTTACTTCGATCCCAACTTACTCTGAAGCGATCTCCTTGTCATGTGTATAGGAAAGTTGTTTTTTTTTTTTTTTTTTTTATACATGCAGTTTCTTGAACATTTTGCACTAAGCACTCATCCGTATTGTAGAATATGAATCCAGCATGTTTTGGGGAGAACTGCACAAAGGTTAATGAAAACACGTGACCAGTAAAGTCACCTGACTTTGAAAAAGCAGTCCTCAACAAACTATCAATTCAATTGGTTGCGTCAACATGTTACAAGCTGAACTTTTTTTTTTAATATACTTGGCTATGTGTCTTAAAATCACCTGTGATATTAAGTTATATACAGAGGGTTCTCAGTTCCTGGCGAGACATCACCGTAACCCAATTTCGTACAGAAGCGTCATCTATTTCATTCACTCAGTCATATATGAAGCCATGATTACTGAATATATTTGTGCTCTTCAGGTACCAGAGGAAGTATCCATACAATCATTTAGGGCGCACATTATGCCAGCCTCCAACACGGGCTGCATCAGAGATCCAGTACTTCTTTGTGGATGTGTCGACACTTTCCAACCAGGGTACAAACTACCAGCTTAGGGTCAGCCGCGTTGAAAGCTTCACATTGCAGTAAGAGACAACTTTCGATACATAATGACATTTACTGATGGCATTTTTTGGTGTAGTGCTGTTTGGTGGAAACATGGCATGAAGTCTGTACCGCCATTGATTTATCTGACCTATTGTCACTTTGATTCCAGGACAGAAACGAAATTTAGCTTCACTTCATCTCCTTCCCAACCTCAGGTACAGATGACTCTGGTTAGAATGAATGGAAAAGAGAAACGGTGAAAGAAGTGTGGTTTCAACAAGAGGATGTAGGGAAGATTTAATGTTACACAATAACAGGAAGTCACGCTTTTTTTGAACATGCGCCTCAAAAATGAGCTGAGGTTGGAGAGTTGGGCTTTTGATGCAGTTTCCACAAATACATTGCGATGATCTAGTACCCGCCCAATTTGTAATCGAAAGCCGTTGATACTACCTTATTATCAAATACGTTCACTGAAGTAGAAGATTTATGAAGTCGATATATGGTGTCTCTCATCTTTGAGAACACAATATTGTATCCCTAATAAAAGAAAATGGTTCCTTTCCCTAATTGCTTATCTCCTCTTTCAGTACTTCAAGTATGTATTTCCTGAAGGGGTGGACACTGTGATTGTGAAGGTCACCTCGGAGATGACCTTTCCCTGCTCTGTTATGTCCATCCAGGATATCCAGGTGCACTTTCTCCTCCTCCCTGTGCTGTCCTTAAGGGCCTTAAGCATCATGGTTTTGGCATGTAGTAACACCAAATCACACAAGCGAAAAGATTATGTTGATCTTTAGGCGATACTGTTCTGGTGCAGGCAGCGCTTTTTTTGGGCTTCTCGAATTCATAATAGCGGGCTGGATCCAAACTGAAAGGCAGGTGCCGCTAAAAAAAAAAAAAAAAACAAAAAAAGAAAAGCAAAATAGAAAGAAACTGTCCTTAATATATATTAACCATACTCAATTGAGGAAAAAAAAACCCAAAACGGTTATCATAGCAAAATAAACAGCAGCAAAACAAACAAAAAAAGTCGAACACCAAAAATTGAATTTCAAACAAATAGGTAATATATAATGAGTAAAAAAAAAATGTTGGTCTCAAACCAGTGTCCCTCCCATAGCACCAGTCCAGAGACCACCCTGGCTCCCCCTCCCCTCCCGTTATCACTACAGGTCACATCCCCTGACCTGCATAATCTATTAACCTGTGTGATATCGGTAATTCATAATTGTTTTTTTTTTTTTGTTTGTTTTTTGCTCCTCCTGCTGTGGAATCCCTCTACTCATCCGATTGATGTTTTCTTTCCGTTTTCAGTGCCCCGTCTATGACCTCGACAACAATGTAGCCTTCATTGGGATGTATCAGACGATGACGAAAAAAGGTGCCATCACAGTACAGGTAATTCTTCAGTTATATGTAGCTCCAATGCAGAATATGTTTTCAAAATTCGTGGAATTTTCAACGTTGGAAAGGACAAAAAAAGAAAAAATTATGGGAGTAAGCAAGAATCAGCAAGGAATCCCATCTATTAAATCTCCTTCAATTACGAGTTAAAACCCATACATTTGGAAAGTTTTCAATTAGGAATGGAAATATTCCAAAGTGAAAATGATTACATCGCATGGAAACATATTGGAAACTTTCGGGGAATGTACTCAAAGATGTCTGACCCCTTGGTAACCTTAAACAACAACATACGGCATTAGAAGTATTTCAACAGAACGTAGCACAAGCACATGTATCCATCGTTACTCCTCCGTCCCTCCGTTATCCAGAGAAAAGATTTCCCCAGCAACAGTTTTTACGTGGTGCTCGTGGTAAAAACGGAGGACGAGGCCTGTGGCGGTCCACTGCGCTTCTACCCTCTGCGCCCAGATGAGCTGATCGACGCTGGTAACCGCAGCAAAACCCTTGACATTGTGGTCTCCCTTGCTATAAAATGTAAGCTACCTTGATACAAAAGTGACATTCTGTGTGTGTGTGTGTGCGTGTGTGTGTGTGTGTGTGTGTGTGTGTGTGTGTGTGTGTGTGTGTGTGTGTGTGTGTGTGTTTTAAACGCGTTTTGTCCAGTGATTTGATCTTTCATTGTGTGTGTTGAGTAACCTTTTGGCATTTTTGCATTCCACATGATGAATGTCATTACGATTTAAAATGCATCCGTATCCACTTTGCACAGCGGACGTGTATGTGATGGGCATGCTGCTATGTCTGGGTATTTTCCTCTCTTTCTACCTTGCCACTCTGCTGGTGGCCTGTCTGGAGAAGAAACGGTAAGACGTTGACAGCCTTTTACTTTGGCACGGGTTGCAAATGCCCACGAGCAGTGGATGAATGTCATTCATTTGTATCTCCACGCCTCTTTGTTTTGTGCAGAGCCAAGAAAAGAGAGCTCTTTCAAAACATTGATGACACATCACCTGCCGAGACAGGTAAACCAGCTCTTAAAGAACCATCTTATTTAGGGTTCACATAAGTGGGTTGGGCTGTATCTATTAACCCTATGATCTGTCTTATATT